ATTGAATATTGTAAGAAAAAATATTTAAGAAACACAATTAAAAATAACAATTTTCAAGTGGTGACATTTCATAAATTTTAATTTAAATTAAGTACTGACAGAAAATTTGACAACATAATTTTAATATACAGCAAAACGTAAACATTGCCACTTAATCTGTGGTAATTATGAAGAGAATTCAGAAGATGAAATGAATCGTTTCGTTGAATTGTCAACACTTTTTTCTTTTCAATTAATTCAATTATTATGGATGGAAGCAAAAAATTAAATTTAAATTGAGAAAGAATACACTTTAACATACATACATACTGTGGAACATACATGAAAAATTAAAAATAATTCAATGTTCCTCTTTGAGGATTACTTAACCAATGTATTGTTATGTAATCATAGGCAATTTTAAGTCTGATAATATTAATAAAGTCTGAGTAATGATAAATGAATGCATTTGAATTTTTAAAGAAGGCCATCACAATGTAAAAAATTAAAAACAACGTCCTAGATTAGAAGTAGTTTAATCCAATTTTACCGCCTAATATTTAAATTTTTTTAATTATATTTAATATTTCAGTTTTTTCAATAGTTCTATTTACCATTGTGCTTACTATTCAATATTTTTTTTTACTTTTATTCAATACATTCAAAATAAAAACATTTTCTTTCTTCTTAATGTCTTAGGCTTTACTCACTTTGTAAATAGAATATAATTAAAAATTAAATTTAGGCAAGAAGATCAATTTCAAAAATCCAATAAAAAAGGTAATTATTAAAATTTAACAAAATGATTTTTCGTATAATTTAAATACCAATTTCAAATCAAATCTAAATCTTTCAATTTTTTTCAAAAATTCCAAATAAATTATAGTTTTCATTTAAACTACCCTAAATTCTATACAATTTTGAGATAATTCACGTAATATCAGATCATTTATATAAAGATTTAATACAAAATTTTATTTTAATTCTATAAATAATTTTTTTTCTTAATGTTTCTATAATTATTTCCACAATTTAATCTTCAATATTCCAATATAAATAGCTCCAAGAGTATAACGTATATGTAGAATATTCATTTTGAATTCAAATTATCATCGTAATTATTACCAGCATGTACAACTAACTTCTAAAGTATTCTTATTTATATCAGTGATTCGACAATTTGTGAAATTAGTTCCAGGTATACCACAGCAATTTGCACAATCTAAAATATAAAAAAATGAAATGGTTACAATATATATGTATATAACTTTATTTTAACAAGTTTGTAAGAATATAAACAATTTTTAAATTGCAGAAATTTCCACAAAATTAAACTACATAGCCAAAGAGGAGATGAAAAATTGTGGATAAAATCAAAAAGGAAAAAAAAAATATTCACCTGAATAAATGAATACAGATTGAACCAATTCAATAAAAAAGAATAACGATAGAATTACCAAAATGATAACATAAAAGTAATTTTTCATGATGTTCACTTTTATTTTGTCACACAAAAAAAAAAATTTATGGAAATTTTCACCTTTTACGAAAGTCACCAACCACCAACTTTATCAAAGAATTGAAAAAATTCAACTGCAATAAAATTATAAAATGTTCTATGATTTTTATAGATTTATATAGAAAAATTTTCAAGCAATATACTTTCATACATATATGTATGTAAGTACATGTACAAAATCATCATTTAAGAATTGATTTATTGGTAGAAATGAAATAATATAACTGTAAATAACTATACAGAATGTAATGAAAATCGTATGTATAATTTTATTCTTTATTGGATTTAAAGAAGATACTCTAACATCAACATACTGCCCAAGAAAATTTAACTGAAGAATGCAGTATAATAAAATTTAACAGCTCGACCGTATTAACGCTATATGGTCGAAATTGGAGCTTTCGTATTCTTCACTTATATTATCACAATTTCAATATTATACCCGAAGAAATTCTTCAAGAAATTGGATGCCAGTTCTCAATTAACAGAAATAATGAAAAATACCTCAATACCGAGAAATTGGCAGATTGACTCAGTGTAATGATTGCAGCCAATCCAGTTGTGAAAAAAATTTACTATACATAACAAACTCGTCACCGAAATGAAATTTTATCCAACTTGTGCAGTTTACATTTTGATATTCATTTGGCGATAGCATGAAATTACAATAGCTCCGAGCGGAACTTTCTTTAGTATATGATGAAAGAAACACATTCACATTATCGTATTCCACTGTTAACCCCGTTCAAAGTGCAAAGTAGTCCCTCTCTATAGTAGGAGACATATACAAATAAATTGATTTCTAATATAAAATCATTAAGTCTAAAAATACTAGTAAAATTTCTAAAGCACTACTTAAATTTTTTTTTGAGATTTGCAGCATAACATTTCTACAACTTTCTATATTGAAAATTCTTCATTTTCATAATACAAAAATAACCATTTTGTGTAGTTGTACAAAACTGTGAACATTGGCAAATTAACATAAAAAATAATTTCCCGCAATAGTGTAAAATAGTAACCATGTCATCTTATATTATTTTATCATGAATATCAAATTCAGTTATTTTTAATTTAAAAATATTCTAAAATAATAGAATAGAAATAATAGAATTAAAGGTCAATATAGTCAGGTTTATAATACTGAATGAAAATTGTAGATTGTCAAGATTACTTTTAAATTAAAGTCGAATAAAATCTGGAAATGTTTTAAAATATAAAAACTAATTTACATATAATTTGCATTTAAATGCAAGTATAAAATATTATTCATATTATATATTTTTATTATATTATGTGTTTAAAACTTTTTTAAAATTAAATAAAAATTTTCAAACGACTTGAAATAATATCAAATTTAATCACATAATTATTTTAACAGTTTCAATGCATTTTGTGCATGAATTGCAAATATTTGTAATATTACATATTATTTTTCTCTTAAAAAGCAAGTTAATTTTTTGAAATTACTTTAATTGTTATCTAAATGGATTATTTATTCGAGTAAAAACTATATATCCTTACATAATTAGAAAATTAAATGAATAAATTACTCCTTAATTTCAAGTAATTTAAATAAGTTCTTCATGAATTTATAATGATATCTCAGCAAAAATTTATAGTCGTAAAGATTATATGGGTTTTGTAGGTAATGGATATAGTTGGTCATGTCAACTCTTTTTTATAATGGTGATGGTGCCATTAAAATATGTACAAATCTATCTTAAAATAAACTTGGAATTGTTGCTTTAATATTTTCTGTAGTGAATTATTTTTGATATTGTATAGCAATTACCATTATAATGATTTAAGCGATTTCGGCTATATTTCAAGGAAATAATGAACGTGTTGTTTATTATATTGATTTATGCAAAGTTTAAAGACTACTTCTTTCCCGATATTGAGAAGTAACGTTTGAAATAGTTCGAAAGTTAATCAATTTACTATTAAATTAAATTAGGGTTCAGATTTTCTAATTATTAAATATATATTTGCAAGAATTTGATTAAATATCAGTTTAACTCAATTAGTTTTAAATTTGTCGAGTTAGCATGGTAGAAATATTGCCGCTAAATCGACTTGAAATCGGAAATTAAACGGAAATTTATATTTATGTATAAATGCAATGGTAAATTTATAAAAATATTGAATATAATTTGTACAGATATGCTTTTGTGGACAATAAATAATTTTATTGCAACAATAATGAATACTTTCTATACTTTGCAGCAAATAAGTAGGAAAGTGGCTACAAAAACAACTAAGACGGAGCTCATTTATTTGCACAATATGTGTTAAACCTCGTTTATATTGCAGAATTTTTAAAAATTTCAGTTCTACTTTATTAGCTTCAAATTATTTTCTTCATTATGTTATTCTCATTTCCATATTATGTTGCAAATCTCTTTTTTTTTTTTGATAAAATAAAAAAACACACAACTAGCTATGTGAACTTTACATATTCTTTAGAACGAAAATTGTTATTGAAATATTGAAAAAAAATTAATCCATTTATTTAAGATTTTTAAGTTTATTTTAAAGTTCATATTTCAAAAAACTTTTTGTATAATTTTAAAATTTTTATCAAGTTACCTGACATGTAAAAATATTTGTAAAGCAATAGGAAATTCATATCCCATACAAAAACTTACTAAAGCAATTATATGAAAATGATATTCAAAGTTTTAAAAATAATTTATGGATTCGTTTATCAAAGTTTATTCAAAATTTTATACTCGTATAACGAAAACAATCCTGAAATATGTAGTAAGTGATTTATGTTACAAGAAAAGTTTATAAATATTGAAAAAATATGTAAAACAAATAAGATTTGTTTTCAAATTTACTGGAGAAATTCAAAAGAAACAGAAGTTTTTCAATTTTATTTTCAAAAAAATTTAAGAAAAACAAGTAAAATAAGAGAGCAAACGACTGCAACAGTGCTGCAATACGAACTGTTAACACAAATAAATTGCATAAATTTAGGAGAAGTTGATTTAACGAAAAATTTATAAAAATTTAAAATACTTTCGTTGTATTCTTTTCTTGTTTTGCTAGTTTTGAATTTAAAAATTTTATACTGTAATTGTAGCAGAATCTACAAATATATTTCGAATATGTACATTTTATTAAAATTTATTATTCAATTAATAAATTAAATATATATTTTAATTGTATACATATAAAAATTTTTATACGTTAATCGAATATATGCACATATGAAATCAATTTGGGGAACTTCAATTTACAAGATCACAAAATTTGATTGAAAATACAACTTAAATTCAAAAATATTTAAAATATATTTTTTTAACAAGTTAAATGCATTTTAAGAAAAGGTTCCTACAGTATAATCTGGCAGAACTTTTATAAATTTTATTTCAATAAATTGATTAAACAGGTCTCATATTTAACATGATTGTAATTACATACTAGTTTTTTCCATAAATTCTTAAACGACCATAATGTCTAAAAATGTTCTTCTATTTTATTTTCTTTGCAGATATTTAGAGAATTAGAAAGACCAGCTGAAATTCAAAGGCTACAACGTTTAAAAGAAGAAGTTAAAACACATCGACAAGCCTTTGTATGGGCAATCTTAAATAATACTGATATGAGTAATTTAGATTATTTAGTTTCTTTTGAATTAGGAAAATATGAAAAGGTATAAAAAAAAATATTTAATATTTAAACTATAACATTGTTACGATGTCAAAATAAAATATTTTTAATTCATACATTATATAGGCTGTTCAAGAAGCTGCTGAAGGTGGTATTTTAATAGCTGCTGATAAAGATTTTCCACATAAATTCGAAAAGTGGAGCATTATGCAGGCTGTGTTCTTCTCTTCCACTGTTTTAACTACAATAGGTATAGTTTATAATAAAAATAATTTTAATTAAAATCATATTGAAATAATTATTTTAATATTTTAGGTTATGGTAATATCGTACCTGTAACAACATACGGTCGAGTTTTTTGTATGTGTTTTGCATTAATTGGAATACCATTAACATTAACTGTTATTGCTGATTTTGGACGATTATTTGCTACTGCCGTTTCAACAATTATAAAACGTTTTCCAAGTAAATTTTCAAATAATATTTGATTTATAATTTATATTTAAATGGAAATACAATTTTAATTAATATTTTCAATTGCATTTGATTGTATAATTTTAGAGTCTGCAACTTTAACAAATATTGCTGGTAAAACATGGTTTATAGTTCTATCAGCTGTATGCTTCCTTGGATTTTATTTGGCAATTGGTGCTGGTCTACTTCTTCTTTGGGAAGATGATTGGTCATTTTTTGATGGCTATTATTTTTGTTTTATTACAATGACAACAATAGGATTTGGTGATCTTGTTCCCAGTAATTTTATTTCTGAAAAAAGAAAATTTAAAATTTATTTTAATTCTAAATTAATTTTTATATATTTTCTTTTATTTTAGAAAAACCAAATTATATGCTTTTATGCACATTATACATATTAATAGGATTGGCATTAACAACCACTATCATAGAATTAGTTAGAAGACAATATGCACAAAGTTGGCAGAAATTACAGGTTAGATTTTAAGAAATTTTTTAAAAATTTTTGATATATAAACTAACAATAATATAAATTTTTTGTTTTTTAGGCTCTTTCGGGACCAATGGCAGAAACATTAAGAAGATTAGGTGAAACAGCTGGAACCGGATTAGATTACACAGCATTACAAAAAGTTCTAACGGTAACTAATTAGCTGAAATAACAAAAAACAAATTAACAATTTTCCTTAAAAATATTTGTACCAAAACTATTTATATCCGATTTATTTAATTAGGGTTTATGTTTCCTACAAAGTAGTTTAAACCGTGTAATTTTCCACTAAAGTTGTTTTTTTTTGTGCATATAATTATTAAAATTTTGCAAAATACCAATTTTTTGCAACAGTGCAACAAAATCTATTTTAGTATTATTTACTAAACGTCATTTTTTATTTGTTAAACTGACCTATTGCTTATCAAAGCCCTTAAAATATTTTAGTTCCGAAAAATAAAACTTGTTTATTAATTTCATTTTTTTATTTACTTGTTTACTAGTGTGATTTCGAAGCAAACAAACAACTAAAAAAAAATTATTTTATTTATGAATTATTTGCAAAATTCCATTATTCAATGCATTTGATTTGAAATACGTAACAGAATATTTCAATTATAAAATGTACGTATACTTTGTTACCTGCGGGCTTGATTTTTTAAAATATATAATAAAATTAACCGGAGTAGTCAAAAATTTCCTATTAGATTTACGTGCATTTTACCATTAATAAAATAAATATTTTCGACTTCTTAATGCCTCGAAGGTAGAAGAACCTTAACTTACGTCATCAAACGAAGAATATTCGTGCATGTAAATTATTATAAAGTTAAGTTTCTAATTAGTGTGCCTTAATTTTTATTTTGCATTTTTAATATTAATGCGACTAATTTTATTTCAATATCAGAAATATTACAAGTACATTGGTATTTCACTTTATATAGTATTTATTTCAATAATTTTTTTTTAAATTTAACAAGAATTGATTATTGCTTAAAATTTTAATACCAGTTTTTCCCAGATTTTTTTTTTTAAATAATTTACATACATACATTACATACTCGCATTACTTGATTAACTAGTAATACAACTTTATTTTTGTCAAAGCATTATATGGCGATCTAAAACTTATTCTATTTATGAGTTACATATATTTATTAAAATTCATACATATAAGAGTTCATTACCTGAACCCAAAAATATTAGGTACTTAAATTCACAAAACAATTATTAGACTAAAACATAAATAACATTTGAATAAGAAATAAATATATGTATATACTCATTTTATGTATTTTGTATGTCCAGTTTCTTCTTTATTGCAGTTCTATTCCATACATTTTAGTTGTTACAATTCATAAGTAGGTAATTAACAGAAGAAATTCGGTCAACATTTTGTTTCTTTAACGTTCTCTTATTAAAAATTGAATCAATATAATTTAAAAAATTTAAGATTTTTAAAATCGTCTGGGATATTGCTATGCATTATAATATTTATTCATATTCAATTCACGAGAGTTAATTTACTATGACTATGATTAAAATGTACTTTATAAGTCACCTTAAGATTAATAAAAACTTGTTAATGATGACAACTTGCTAATATTTTTTTTAAATAATAAGTATTTTAAGTCGAAATACCAAGTTTTTCGAATTTCAAACTCTAAATGCAATTTACTTTATGAACAAAAATATTCAAATATTGTAAATTCTATCAAATTAATAATTAAATCAAGAAATTCGCATAAATACGTAATGTTATGATGATCACATTGATTCATGTAATAATATTAGTAATAATTTAGTAAACGCATAATTTTATAAAAATACATAGTTAAATATAACTATTAAAATTGAAAACAAACAATAAAATACTTGACATTTAATATAACCCTCAACTTCGAATATGCTTATTTTAATATTGGATTTTTCTTGCGTTCATGCCAAAATAATTTACACGCTTTGTTTTATGTACTTATGGTTATGTACCTATTTTACAAATTAAATTAATTTATTTATTTTTTATACATCAAATGGCCATTTATTTCATAAAGTATCTATTAAAAATACGCAAACGCACCTTCGTTTCAAAACTCTCAAATTTAAATTAATTTCGAAACTTATGACAAATACAATACAAATAATTTTATGAAAATTAAAAAAACATGCAAATTTACATTTCTTTTTTCAAATTTAAAAATAGGTTTCAATGCCGAAATGGAATATGTCATCATCAGATAAAAATTCAAAAAATAAAGAACATGAAATTGCAGCTTTACAAGCCATTACTAATGCCATTTTACAGGAGGTTAAAGAAGCTCAACAACAAAAACCACCAAAAGTCGTTCAAATTGTAATTTACGAGTCTTCAGTTTAGAAATTTTTTTCAATTTATACATAAATATTAAAATTTAGTTCTATTTTTTTTTAAAATTAAGAAAATTTGTTAAGTTTGTAATAGTTTATAATATATTTATGGTTATGCATTTGTATATTTAATTAATTAATTATTATTAATAATTTCTTAAATAATTATAATTGATAATTTAATATTTAGTTTAAGAATTAAAAAAAAAATTTAATTAAAAATTTTAATTTATGATTGAAGAGTTTTTTAAAATAACTTACATTTAAATATTTTAGTTTAATTAAAATAATATTTCTAATATTATAATATTAAACTAAAATATAAATATTAATAATATTAGAAATATTATTTTAATTAAACTAAATTTTTGTTATATATTACAATTAAAAAGATTTCTAAATTTTGTTAATCCAAAAAAACAATCACAATTCATTTAAAATAACAATTGCAAACTTTTAGCAATTTTTGCAAATGATTACTTAGGCCGGCAATTAATGATAATTTCATATAATTAATTCAATATTGTAATTATACTGCAATAATTAAAAATTAATTTTTCAAAAAAGTGTACAAAGTAAGATTTGCTAAAACTATTTCTAAAATTCGCTAAAACATATTTCGGAATTTAAGAATCAAATTGTTTTCAACTAATACATGGAGATGCGTTTGATTGCTATTATAAAACTATCATGAATTGAAATATGCTAGCATTAAAAATTTGATTCAAGAATAACTTTTACATGACCGTTCTTATAATTTTCTTAAATGCTTTTCTTTCAAATAATGTAGATTATTATTAACCTAACTTATTTACTAATTTACTTAACTACAATATTAAATGAGTTATCAAAATGTCTTCAAATTGAGTCTACATTACAACGTTGTTGCCAATTTCGAATTTTAAACATTTCGTACAATTTTAAATATTTAATTATTAGATTAAAGATAATGTTGAATTAAACATAAAATATAAAATAAATTCAACACTTAAATCATAAAATTTCTTTTAAATTTTTTTATATATAAAAATTATTCAAAAAAATTTATAATTGCACCTAAATTTAAAATTATAGCAAAAGAAGTTTTGTTTTTTTTTTTGTTTTTGCAATCAAAACACAACAAAAAAAATGCCTTCATTAATAAATTTAATATTTAATTATATAAAAAAAAAAGTATCATTAGAATTTAATTAATAAAAATTAAAATGCTTTTGTGTTCAAAACTTGTGTAAAAATTTTCATTACATAATTGAAATTATAATAAACTTATAATTTATATAAAACAGTTTTAAATTAATGTTAAAATCGAAGTCGAAATTCTCCAATTACATTGTTATTTTAATTTTTTTACATTTATAAGTCTTATTTTCGATAAATTCTTAAATAAAATATTTTTAATATTATTTATTTTAATGTAGTTTTAAAATATTTAATAATTAAAGAAATAAGAAAAGCAAAAATAAACAAAAATTATAATTAAACACAAAATATACACATTTAATTTATCATATTGTTACAGCCAATATTTATTTATTTCATTAAAAATTCAAATACATTATATATAAATAAAATTTACAATAAAATTTAAAAATTTATAAAAATTCTAGATTTTAAGTATATAAAAAAAAAAGGAAAATATGAAAATAATAAAAGACTTTAATTTCGCCTAAATATTTCAATGAATTTATTTATTATAATAATTTTAAATAATAGCAAATTAATAACAAAATGTGAACAGTTAAGTAAGTTATTCCCAAAGAAATTTAATTAAAATAATTTCATAACTAACATATATGTAATTAATCAAATTTGTAATAATGAATACGTCTATAAATTCTAATTTGAAAAATTCTAATTTGCTCTACTAAATGAAACCGAAATCCGAAACTCGACATAAACATTGTTTTCAAATATATATACTCATTAATCCAACTTATTACATTAAAAACTAAACTCCAAATAAAAACAAAAATTTAAGTTTTTTTTAAATCTTATTAATATTAATGCAATTGCGGTACGTAATCTAGGTTCTAGAATTGCACGTAAACGAATTTTAAATATAAAGTAAGTTTTTCTTATAGTTTATTATAGCAAAAGTGCGTCTTTTGTTTCATTTTAATTTATACAGAAATTTAAAAATACAGAGAACTTAATTATAATTTATTTTACAAAAATGACTTTTTACATAAATTTAAAATTTAGGTAAACATTTAAAATATGTAATAAGAATACCGTCACGTTTAACAAATAGCTTAATTATAAATAATTTTTGATAATGTTTGATTAATTTAATTTTTAACTTTTAGCTTCCGTAAATAAGCATACTAACACTTGGTTAAGTATCTACTATAATAATTATATTAGAATTTTATATTTGCAATAAAAAATTAAAGCAGAAGTAGAATACAATATAATTGACCTAATGTGACATCTTTAATACGAAAAAAAAAAATAATATATGAATGTATGTTTTTCTATATAACACTATAAAATGAAATTCACTTCTCACGTAAATTTTATGTAATGTCACGAAATAGGTGCTAAAAAAAAATTTATTGATAAGGCATGTTCATTTATAAAATATTTTATTAAAGAATTTAAAAAATTTATGATTTAAATTTTTCGAATAAATTTTTTATAATTCACTTTTAAACAAAAAAACTATTATTATAACATAATTTAACTTTTATAACGTTATATAATTGCAATACATAAAATTTAATCATCAATTTAATTAATTTATGACGATGTCAAATTATCAAAATTACAGCAAAACTGTGTTACCTCACTACTCAGTAGTTAGAATTCATGAGGTGGATTGCCTTTTAATGCCGTATTACTGCAATTTTGAAGTCAAGAACTATTACATATTATATAATCCATTATAATAACGGAAAAAATTTAAATCGAAAAAAATTATAAATATTTATTTACATTAATTATATAAATAATTTTTCAATGTCTTCAAACAAAATTATAAAACAGCTGTTTTTTTTTTTTTTGAATTTTTCTGTTTTCGGTTATGAAAATATTGTTATATTATTAATTTTAGTTTATGTAATAAATAACCTGATATTTTTACGTTACGTTTCTGAACCTACGGGTGACGAGAGTATTTAGAAAAGGTGCCGTTGTTTAAATATTCGGCGAGTAATACATTTTTTTTCATTATTTGAATTTTTAATTATCGCTAGACGTTATTGAATTTCTTGATTATTCGATATCGGGTGTACATGAACAATATTTTTAATGTTTTTAAAAAAAAGTCTAATAGATACTTTTTTTTTATCAAATGAATTATGTTTAAACTTTTAAAGGATTTCCTCCTTGTTTTTCATAATTAAACAAATACATTTATAGGTTATCAAAGTGTTTCATAAAAAATATACTAATTATAGACTTCAAAATTCTATTGCAAATTCACATTAGTTTAAATATGGTTCTATATAGTAGTTAGATAAAATTAAATAAAACATTTTCTAAAATTAAAAATACTCTTCCATCTACTTTTATACACGTGATTTACGAATGTTTTCCACTATATAAAACTGAATTGCAATTATAACACTATAATGTTCTATTTTGTTATACAATGATTTTTATGTAACAATCTACATACGATTTAAATCACATTATTTATGTACATATGTATATGCTTTCTAATCCATATTCTCTTAATAATTTATACTTTATTCAAAACAAAATTTTGCATAAACAAAAATAAAATTATTTTTTTTTGCTTTAATATTTATTTTCCACTTACAGTAGTTCAATATGGGATTGGTTTATTTTTTATTATAAAAAATCATTTTTTTTTATTTCATTTATTTCATTCAATTTTTAAGTAAGTAACTTTATGTAAAAATAATATGAAAATTTATTTACTATGACGTATATAAAATAATTTAATTCTTAAAAAAAACAATTAAAAATCCTTATTGTATATTGTTTTAATTGAATATTTTGGATAATTAAAATATTTTAAATCATCTACTGAAATTTAATACAATTTTATTAATTTATATTCCCTATTTATGTGAACCTCATGACATGAAACAATTTTCTTTTACATTTTTTAAGTTTTTGCAAATCAGTCTAATAATCTAATATCAAATATAATATAACTTTCCTATAGATTACAATTTCTAATAAAATCAATTCAAAATTTTCAAATTCATTCTAATAACTTTAAATATTTTTATAATTTACTTCTAAATTTAATATTTTTAACTAATAATTTATTATATAAAATGAGAAAATCTATATACTGTTCTTGTAAATATTTTAATTCATACTATTTTATTTAATTCATTAATATTGTGCAAACAATAAACTTTAAATATTTGTAAATTTAATTTATATATATAGGCTTTGGTTTATAATACTAAATTTAAATATTTTGTTATTCAATTTAAATAATATAGGGCAAAACTACTCGTATTTGATTATTCAATTTGATATGGCAAATATTATAGAATTTTAGGTGTTAAAAATTCAAAAAAAAAGTAATTTTTTGTTTTCCTATTTTTATATAAAAATCAATGAATATTAGATTATTTGTTTTTTTTTATTAAAAACATAAAATTTTTCATTTACACCCTTGGGAACAAAACTTCCGCTTTTAAACTAGAAAGAAGTGAAAAATTCATTCACCTACTAACTCAAGTATATTTAGCGCATGTTGGTTTCATAAAAAAAAAATTTTACTCATGAAATTAAATGCCATTAATGTACAGAACTTTGTAAAAATTAGTAATTTACATAATGTAAATGCCGTGTAAGCGGTATTTTAGTTGTCTACAAAACTACACATTTGAAATTCTTAATTGAACAACTGGATTAAACAACATACTAAGTTCCGATCAATAAATCGGCTTCATAATCAATTCTTTGCAACAATAGCAATATTATTATATATTTAGTAAATTTACTTATTTTAGTAAAATCTTAAAATTTATAAATCTTAAATACTTTAAACATAGCAAAGTTGATTAAGGTTATTGAATAACACTTATAAATATATCTATTTATTCATAATACCATATAATAGTATTCTATATTGTAATTTTATCACAGTCGACATATTGAAAAATTCATAGCAATGAAAATTGAATTATAACATTTTTATAATACATTTATATAGCAAAACAATTCGTTTCTTTTTTTATATTTGCAAGGATATGTTTATTTCACATAAATTATAAATATGCTACATGAATAAAATATCAAAAAAAAAAAAAAAAACAAACCACTAAAAAATATATTTTTGGCTAGCTTTTGTATTCTTAAAGTAATATTTTAAAATCATATTGTTATTCACTGTTGAAGTCTCTAAAGTACCATAATAAAAAATAAATTCTTATAATAATACAGAGTGTACAGTAATTCAGGCGAATTTTTAGATTTCATTTTAAATGTAAATATTAAGTGTAAGTTCTGTTGATATACCAATTTAAAATAGATTAATCTTCCAACTTTTATTGAAAAAAAATTTGATTGTACCTAAAAAACAAAGAAATTTCAGTCTCAGTTTTGGAAAAATTAACGCTAAAACAATTCTTTCCTGCAAATATTTTTTTTTCTCATAGCTCGCTCAATTATTGGGTCCCCTTTTTGGATTTTTTTTCATTTCAAAATATGTACAGAAATTTTATATAATTTGATGTTGATGAAAATATTATCGATGAAATATTTTAGTGAAAAATGCAAACATTCCTAAACATCTTATAAATTTATTTGATAATCTCCTACATTCCTTACATTTAAACGGCGACATATTGCGATAGTCTGAAAAGAAAGACGTTTTTTTTATATTTTTAAATTAATAAATCTTTTCAAAATTTAATATCAAAAAGGAAAATATAAAAATATTAAACTATTTAAATAGTTTTAAAAATTTTTTTTTTAAATTTTAAATACCCCAGTTTACTCACAAATAAATGAATAATAGAACAATTGAATATTCTTAAATAATTACCACAAAATAAATTAATTAATAAATTCTTATACGAAATTGATATTAATATAAAAAAAAATTAACCTAATAACCTTTTAACTAAATATGAATTAATTAATTAATAATTAGGCTAAATGTTGTAATTAATTTAATCCAATTCACCAAAATCATCTTTAATTAATAATAAAAATTCAATTGTCTCTAAATAATGATTTACTTCTACAGTTCTACTGAATATTAATTAAATTTTTAATAAAAGAAAACAAAAAGATAAAAAGAGAATTTTTTATCACGTTTTATGCTCAAACAATGCTCTCTCTTTTATAATTTGATAATAGGCAGTAGGCACAACACAATATTTTTTTACGCACCATTACGTAATTTATAATACAAAAAAAAGAGTGAAACAAATGAAAAAATATTCTGAGATGAATTGTGATTTTATATATTATTGAAAATAATAAAAATAATCATAATTTGAGATTACGATTATTAATAATTAAGAATAATTATTAAGAATGCAAGGTGAGAATACAAATACATATTTATTTAATGAAAAACAAAGACAATTTTAGGGTAATCTTATAAAATTAATATAATGCACAACTAGGCTCTATTGCAAATTTTTTCTCAAATTTGAATGAGTGCAAAAATATTGTATAATATAGAGATAATCGGGAGTTGTTTTTAAAACGAATGCTATTTTCTATAATTTTAAGTATGTTGAAAATTTGAGGCAAAATTATGGGATTCCATAAGAAAAAAAAATTGAAAACTGAAATGTGCGTAACTACTTCTTTCATTTAATACTTATAATTAGAATAACCTAAACTGTTATACTATTAATCTTACACAAGCTTTATTTAATATTAATTTCAAACATCTTCATTTAATTTTGCAGCTTATCAATTGAAAAATTTAAGTGAAAAAATTTAAAATAGAAGAAAATATTAAGAAAATTTAAATTTATAAATTTTTGTATGAAATAATTTTTATAATTCAATTTGCACATTGATATCAGCAAAATAACACTGACATAATATGGATTTTTATTTTGAATAATCTTTAATATCTTGTTTTGAATAAATATATAAATTTAATATTATAACAATATTAATATTATTATATAAAATGCGTCAAAATTATTTGTAATGAACTTCGTTTTATTTGTTCAAAGTTCGTTGCATAAACTTTTCACGTCACACGAACGGAAATGGTGAGTCCATCATGGTTTTAATAAATAAATTATTTAATTTTTTTTTTTGTTTTTATTATTTCTATAATATAAACTAATTTAAATGTCACATACTATTCTTTTTTTTTCTTCAAAATACTAGTTTACCTATATTTTTGAAATACATAATGAAAGTCTCTTGTAATTAAATAGCAATATGAATGTGTATACTTAAAATAGCTCTTCTTTTATAATACCTAAATAAGTTTAATAAAAATTTTATTGTGTAACTCCCAAGCCTATAGTAAAAAGCTCAACTATTTACTTTACATTTACTTTTAGTATTGTGTATAATAGTTTATAGAAGACAATTATTGTAATTACACAATAAAATTATGGTTTTTGAGTGGCACTGTTTAAAAATTAAAAAACTTAATACTCAATAGCGCCTCTGAAAAATGTATTCTGTTGTGTAATTACAAAACAATTTCAGTGTTTCCTATTTTATCGCTATTATTTTAATAATCTATATTTTTATCCCTAAAACCAAATATTATTGATTGTAGAAATTTTTTTCATATTTAAATGTACATTTTCCTGTACATTTGCATATTTTCCAAAATTTTGTCACCTATACCTAACAGGCAACACTCTGTTAAAGTAAATTTACCTGTATCTGTACAGAGTATAATCGTCTAATTCGCGTATACCTAAAAAAAAAAAGCAAAAAAAATAAAAACTTTTAGAAAACTTCGAAAATCGATAACAAAAATTTTACTTTACAATACAAGAACATAAAGAAAAAATACCAATAAAATCAAAAGTAAAAAAAAAGACAGAAACAAATAATCGAAAAGAAAAGAAAAACACAAAAAAAAAGAAAATTATAAAACAAAAATTGCGCCATTCTTCCTTTGCGCCTATATAAAATAAATGAAAGAAAGCTTTTCGCACGCAGTTCACTTTACATCGCGTTCTAGTTCAGTTGTATAGAAAATAAAAAAAAAATATTAATTATTTTTTTTTTAATATATAAGGAAAACGGATCGCGATTATCCTGTGATAATAACAAAAAAAAAAAAACAACAAAAAATAGAAACTCACGCACAAAAAGTGTAAAACGAACTTTTAGTTTTTAAGTCGTTTTTTATGATTTTTTTCTAAGTGAATTTTTAATATTTTTAAAAAAATATTAAAAAAAAAAAATAAAAGAAAATTTTTAATGAAAAATTAGTTAAAACAATTTTTTTTAAAAATGAGTATAACTAAAGATATTGCGACTGATCCATCAATTGTCAGTCCAACTAGTGTCTTTTATTTTCTATTATTACCAACATTAATATTATGGTTCGTTTATTGGAAATTATCTCGAAGACATTTATATGAATTAGCTGAAAATATTCCTGGTATTTCAGGATTACCAATTGTTGGAAATTTATTTGATGTTTTAGGATCACCACATCGTAAGTATAAATTAAATATTAATATAGATAAAATTTAGATCCAAATAAACCATATTATCGTATTTAAATAATTTAAGAATAAGAAATTAAAATTATAGCATAAAATTCTATTTTATAATCTTCTATGACTTATTAGCAAAATTATTAGACAAAAATATTTTAAAAATGTTCAAAAAGATTCAAATTATTAATTCAGCCTTTTTTATAAATTCAATCAATAAAAACAAATAAAAAGAAAAAAATAATATTAAATCATATTTAATTGAATTTAATGAACAATTTTCACACCATCAATTTAATCAAATAATTTTTTTTTTAAAATATTCACTATTAAAAAAGAAAACACATGTATACTCGTGCATCACACATAGTTCAAAAATCAATTGAATTCAATTAAAGAAATAATTTTATTAGATTTGAAATTACACTATGAAAATTTCATAGTGTATACATACATATATTAAAAATTATAATATCAATTATTATTACAAAAAAAAAAAAGAAATTATAATAAAAATTATTAAGAAATTATTATAGAAAGAAAAATTATTTTTTCATGCACTAGTTTTAAAATTATGAAATATTAAAATTATTTGTGTTAATTAAGAATAAATCAGAATTTCTATCTATCATTAATTATTATGATTATATATGGTTTATTTGACTAATTAAAATTTTTCTTAATTATATATATTAATTAAAATTTATTTTTATAATTTAGCTGTTTTCTTAAGATTTTGGCAATTGGCATATGAAATACCAAATCTTGCTAAAATGTGGATTGGACCAAAACTATTTATATTTTTATATAATCCAGAAGATATTGAATTAGTATTAAGCAGTCAAACACATATTGATAAAGCAACTGATTATCAATTCTTTAAACCATGGTTAGGAGATGGTCTTTTAATTAGTACAGGTAAGTTAATTTCAGATATACTTATAAATTATTATGAATATTTTAAAAACACGATGACATATTCCAATCTTTACAATTCCGATGGCAACTTCCGATGATTACTTATATTCAAAATTTGTCATATTGTAATATTTGATTAGACCTTTCAGTTGTATTTAAATAGGAATACAAGTAATTATGAATAAAGTAATAATTTCATTCTATATCTCACTTTTTCAATCATCTTTTAGTCACTTTCAATTATGAAATCTTGTTTTTTTTTTTCCTGATACATTGTTGATCCAATAAAATTACCTAAAATTTAGTAAAATTATTATGTATAGAATTTGTTTATTATAATTTTTGATACAGATTATCTATATCCTATTGTCATTTTTAATTAATTTTAAATTAAAAATTTAAACGCAACAATATAATTTAAAATATTAAAAAAAAAATAAACAAAATAAAATAACATAGAGAAGTGAACTATGCACTTTCAACCTCAATTTCCGAAAATCAAAGAAAGTAAAGTAAATAAGAAGATTAATAATTAAAAAAAAAACCTCATGTGATGTCTCACTGATTAATATTTAAGAAATTGTCCACAGCATTGCTATGATAATTAGAAATTGATTCTAAATCATATCTTATTTTAGTCATACTTAAAAAAAAGGTTACTAAATAATTGTAACAAAATCAGAATTGCAATGTTTAAATAACATTAAAAATATTGATTTTACCTTGTTTTAAATGTAAAAATTTTGCGTCTTGAACTTATTTTAAGTATTAAAATATTTTAATACAAATATACTATCCAAATATTATTTATTTATTTTGAACTTTGAATTTGAACTTTTCCCAGTATGTCAAGTCTATCTGTGACCATCATTTGGTATTTTAAAAATCCAAAATCCTTCGAATTGAAACTCCAGATTCTCCGAAATTTTGAAATTTGCATTTGACTATATTGCCGGTAATTCGCTAATATCTTCACCTCATCTGTAATATTTAATTTTTCACATTTCATATTTTTGCTATGCTGAATTATAATGCTATTTTATAAAGAATAAACTTTATATATTTTTAATCACAGGTCACAAATGGCGTTCCCATAGAAAATTGATCGCTCCAACATTCCATTTGAATGTGTTAAAAGGTTTCATCGATTTATTTAATGAAAATGCACGTAATGTTGTTGATAAATTGAAAAAAGAAGGAACTAAAACCTTTGACGCTCATGATTATATGAGTGAAGCTACAGTTGAAATTTTATTGGGTAAGTTGAATAATTATGAAATAAAATCAAATCTTAATTATAAATTTCCAATTCATTTATAAAAAATATATATACATATATGTATATAGAAAAAAAAGGCCATGTACATAACGCATGCTTTGTTATTTACAAAAAGAATGAAAAAAAATATTTATTTAAAATTGAATTTATTTAAAATATTAATTAATTCGTCTTTATTTAAACAAAATATAAGAAACAGAATACGGAAGTAATTTACCCTGTAAAGCAAATGCCATGAACTTTTCTGTTATAAAATACAAAAAAAAAATTATTCTAATTTCGTCCCGGTCAACTATAAATAATTTACTTAATTCTTTGTCATATTTAAAATGTTTTTGTAATTTTTAATTTTAATTTTCTTTTTATATTAAAAATTAATATTAATTTTTCTTTTGAAAAACATATACAACATATACTTATATTTTAAATAAATAATGAAAATGCGTTAGGAAAACAACTAAATAAATATTATATTAACATTATGAACTTTCACCAATCAGACTTATTCTAGTTTCATTAATACAATTTTGAAATTGAATATTAAATTTGTAATTATGACATAAGAAAATAATTTAAATATGAAATTGATTTAATCCAAACTTTAAAATAATAAAAAAAAATTTAATTTTTAATTAAATTTCAATGAAAATTATAACAATTATAATGACACAGGACATTATTCTTTCTATTATGAATATTATAAGTGAAAATATTTAAGAATTCTGCTAAGAGTTAACAATATTAAATATTAAACCTAAATTAATTTGCATGATCTTCTTAAAATCCAAGAACATTTCAATTTAAAATTATAGTTTTACAAAAATAATTCTGCATTTGATATTCTTATTTACATTTATAACAAATAACTCATTTAAAGTATTTGAACTAAAAATGCAATTAACTATCATTAATAATGGAATTTACTACACCTTTATTTAAAATAATACTTAAGTAGAAATAGACAAAATGATTCAATTATAAGAAATATTAAAAAGCTTTAACAAAAATAATTAAACATTATTTATATTATACATATGCGATTCCTTAAAATTGCATATTCTAAAAAGTATAGAAATAGTTTTTTAACTGGAAATTAATCAGCTTATTTTAAAATTTAATTTTATTACTAAATAATTAATTTGTTACATGCTACAATTTAATATGTTCACACATTTTTAAATTATAAACTAATAAATAAAAGTTCCTTCTGTTATATTCATGACTGTTACATATTTTACCGGCAAATTTGACCCGAATTCTTTTAATTTACATTCAATTAAATTAATTTATAAATTATTAAATTCAATTACATAATGAAACAAGCTGAAATCAAATTTTCTAATATTTGTTTTTTTTTAATATTACTATGTTTCTTCTCTTCTTTACACTATTCAAGTAGCTATTTGTAATATTTTATATTAAAAAAATCAAAAGACTAATAATGTGAATGCCTTAACATATACAATGCAATGCATACATAATTAAAAATGACACTGATAGTGTTACATTGACAATATTATTGATGTTAAGTATAGAACAATTTGCTTGTTTAACATTTAAATTTCATTCTTATTATATTCTAAAAAGACTTTACAATAGTTGGTGTGTATCGGCTTCAATTGAATTTGTGAAAATCAAATTTGTTTTAATTTATTTAATCTGCTATTCAGTTACTTATATAAAATAATTTAATTAATATTTCATTTTTAATTATCGGAATCATATGCGAAATTTCTAAAATTATCGCCCAAAACCACAATATTTGAATTTCTAAAATTCATTGTTACCATTACTACAAACTACAATACATTATGGACTTACTATATGTTTGTAAATTAAAGATACATAAATTTTATTTTGCGCAAGAATACTGTCATACAATATTCTTACGCAAATGAAAAATTTTAATCACTCTGCAAAAAAGAAAAATTATTTTTTCTTATGAAATTGTTGAAATTTTTACAGATCTTGCAAGTGTTTTCGTTCCAAATTCATTGTAAATTTTTTACTATAAGAAATTCAATTTTTGGAAAATAATTTTAAAAATCAGAAGTATGGGTTAAGTTTTTGTAATTTAATAAAATTTTCTTTAATAAATTTATTTTTATCCAACACATCCAATTCTTTTACGCACATAGTGTATGATGATATTGATCAATCCGTTTTAAAATATCGTACCTAAAAAAAATTTTCATTAGCAATGTTATTACCACTATTGTACAAATCTATTTAAATTAAGAGAAAATTCTGCTTAATTGTAAAACTAAACTAATTTTACTCACCTATTAAAATTCAACATTAATTTATTAGAAATAACATCTGTGTGATCAATACAATGCAACTAGTGTAATACAATGCAACTAATGTAGCATCACTGAAGAGCGGCTGATATTCTAGCACCGCTCTATTATTAGTTCTTGGAATATCAGGCATGTCAAGCTATTATTTATATTTATCTTAATTTCATCATTTTTATTATCTTTGCCTCCATTATCACTAATAATTTTGCCAATATTAATGAAATTAAAACGGCAACACTTAATATTACTTTCAATTTAACCTACATACAAAACTATTAAAATTTAAGAGAATTTATTCATATAGGAATAGAAAAAGAAAAAATTAATTGATTACATAACATAAAACTGAGCACCAAGAGTTTGTAAAATTTTCTTTTGAAAAATAAATACACACACATGCTGACAAACATTCAAGTAATAAAAGTTTTTCTTTTATCAATTCTTTCACTCTAATGTTTTTCGTTTTCGTTTGAAAAAAACTCTAACCAGTTTTGCTCAGTATTTTGATGGAGTAATAAAAAAATGTGCAATGAAAATAGCGAAATGCAAAAAAATTGCAAAGAAAAAATCATACATACATAGTGTTCATAAGTCGGTTAGTAATATCAAGGTAGATAGTTTGACTGGATTTTTTCTTTTCTTCCATTTTCATTCAAAGAAGGCATAAAGTTAATCTTTCGATGTGTTTTATTGTAATAAATATGAATACACATATTGATTAAATTCATAATATCAATCAATTGTATTGATAGTGCAGAGTTACATAATTCCATGTGAAAGGTATAATAAGAAGAGAATTGTGATATTATTTCTTTAGTGAATTAAACCGTATGATCTGCCAATTAACTGACATTTATTGACACAAAGCAATATATTGCAACAACCTCTTAGGACGTACCACCTAAAACAACGTCAACCTCTTAGGACCAGAAGTAAATAGGATAATTGTTGTCAGATTCCTTTACCATTCTAACCTAATACCAGAAAACATTTTCTCAACAAAAAAACCTAAAATTTAACAAATCAAAACCCATGTTCTTTTATTAGATCTAATTTGTGCTATAGCATTTTCATACGATTAAAAATGCTAACAAGATTAAAATTTCACTCAGAGTAAGAAAAATCTTTCCGAAATACTAATAATTGTGAGGAGCGCACATGTATTTTTTAATAACATTTTGATTTTACCTCGTACCTCATAGTGCAATAAAAGTGTAGCCGATGAAACATACATACATACAAATGTTAAAAATTTTTAATTTAACCTATGCGGGTTTTCTTTTAGTTTTTAAAACATTACAGTGATTTGAATAAGTATCTGTAAAAAAACAAAAAACCTGTAATAAATTTCGAAATTTCATTTTCATTTTCAACTAATACGTAAATTTTGCTTTAAATATACTAAAAATATTCTTAATTATTATTTATGCTTAATAATTATTTTGTTATTATTAATAGCAGCATATCGATTTTATTTTATCAATCGATTCAATAATTTGAGTCTTGTATCATTACCCTGTTCATTATTCAAATTTGTTTATAATAAATAACGTTACTTAATCTCATTATTATTGTTATTATTAAATATTTTCAATTGATTTCAGTAAATTGTAATAGTAATTGTGATTTTCTTTCTTTCTAGAAACTGCTATGGGTGTTCCAAAGAAAACACAAAAATCTGGTTATGAATATGCTCTTGCTGTAATGAAATTATGTGATATTTTACATATGCGTTCACGTGGTATAATTTGGCGTTCCGATTTTCTTTTCTCATTAAGTAAAACATTTAAAGAACAAGGACGTCTTCTTGATATTATTCATGGTCTTACTAATAAAGTTGTTGCATTAAAAACTGATGCTTTTAAGAAAGGTGTTCGTGGTTCATTAGCTACCGTATCAAAAGAAAGTGTTACATCTGTATTTAGTTCAAAACAAAGTCCAAATAAAGAATCTAGTGTTGAAGGTTTATCATTTGGTCAATCAGCTGGATTAAAAGATGATTTAGATGTTGATATGCCAGATAATGATATTGGAGAAAAGAAACGTTTAGCATTCTTAGATTTATTATTAGAAAGTTCACAAAATGGTGGTTTAATTACAAATACCGAAGTAAAAGAACAAGTTAATACAATTATGTTTGAAGGACATGATACAACAGCAGCTGCATCATCATTCTTTTTAAGTTTAATGGGTGTTCATCAGGATATCCAAGAAAAAGTTATCGCTGAATTAAATGAAATCTTTGGTGATTCTGATCGGCCATGTACATTCCAAGATACACTTGAAATGAAATATTTGGAAAGATGTTTAATGGAAACATTAAGAATGTATCCACCAGTACCAATTATCGCTAGACATTTAAATGAAGATTTAAAATTAAAGAGTGGACCATATACAATACCAAAGGGTGCATCAGTTGTTGTTACAACATATAGATTACATAGAGATCCAAATATATATCCAAATCCAGATGTATTCAATCCAGATAATTTCTTACCAGAGAAACAAGCTAATCGCCATTATTATGCATTTATACCATTCTCAGCTGGTCCAAGAAGTTGTGTAGGTCGTAAATATGCTATGTTAAAATTAAAAATTTTACTATCAACAATTTTACGTAATTATCGTGTTTTCTCTGATCTTAAAGAATCTGATTTCAAATTACAAGCTGATATCATTTTAAAACGTGAAGAAGGTTTTAAAGTACGTCTTCAACCACGACAAAGATTAGTTGAAGTTACAGCTTAAGTTTATATTTTTGAAAATAGTAACATTATAAAAAAAAAAACTTATATGCATAAAAAATTAAAGAACAAACAATGTAAAAATATATTACAGTACATTTATGACAGCAAATATTTACAAAAAAAAGATCTTCAAGAATAACTTTTATGATATAAATAAATTATATAACATACAAACACAGCAGAACAAATTCACAATTAATAACATCAAATGGAAAAGAAAAATCTCCAAAAATTTCTTCAAAATATTTAAAAAATAAAAGTAAATTTCTTTTTGTACAGGGTGAACACTTTTTGTTTATTTAGGAGTATTACTACAGGGTGAATTTGAAATTTTATTTATTTTTAAAAAATTCGTTCTTATAATTATTTATAAATTGTAATCATGTAAAAACAACGAATTTATATATGAAATTTCTTTTAATATTTTAATTAAAAAATAAATTTAGAAAAAGGTTTAAGAAAGGTTGTAAAATTTTATTTAGCCATAAAATACCAAATTTATTTTTTCAGGTAAATAAAAAACGTTATTTTAAGTTGTTATATGTAGGTAGATCCTACCTATATAAGATACATACTTAAATAATCAGTAATATACCATTAATATTTAAAAGGACGGTAGACTGTTAATTCAACATTCCATGACACACTATTACAACACACATGACAGTCAAATATACAAGTGCCTAAATTTAAGTATCTGTAGTGTGTATAAAAGTTCACTATATCGCATCTGAAGGTGCAAACACATCGTACATTTGTACAAGTTTAAATATACAAAACAATGAAAACATTCTAAACAATACAATTAACAAAATATTTGCAAAGAGAAAAGTTCTTAATACCGTCACAGTACTAAGCTTAGTTCATAGTATTATACGAGAATAAAATTTTTAAGGCTGGTAATACAAATTTGTATTCTTATTTTATACTAACAATCCAATTGATAATTGACCATTGAATAAGTTCAATTATCATTCTTAGAGTTTTTCTTATAATATAATAGTAAAAGTTGAAACTGAAATAACATTTACCTTATGGTAATTAAAACCGAAAATGCTAACCCAGAACCTTTCATTGGTGGTCAATTACCAACAAAGTAATTTTGCATCTATTTATGTATGTATGTATGTATTATAGATATGTGCTTAATATAGAATCCGTTTTTATTAGGTGTTACAAAAATTTCTCCATCTGCATACTAGCTCCAAAAATATGATTTTATACTTTTATTTTAGTGGGTATTTCGTACTTTCCTCCATTCCAAATTAAAGTTCAAAATTTGTTGAAATCTGTTGGCTTGTGGTTTTCCAAACAAGCAATTCTACTTAATTTTCGTTTCAAGACTAAATTTCTTCTTTAAAATATTGTTTATTAATTTATAAAGAAAATAACTACGATTTGCACATGTTCTATAATCTTATTCTAAATTATTAATTTTAAGATTCAAATTTCCTTTTAGAAATAACATGTTTAAAATTTTAAATTGATATCTAAAAAATTCTTTTATAGGGATTGGAAATACTCATAAATTTTCGATACAATGATATTGAGTGAAAATTGTTAATAGCAAAAATTTAGTAAGTGATAATTACTGACCCCAACGGCAGCCGCAAGCGATTGTCTTACCTTACCGATACAGCCACACGTCAATCGAATTTTTGATTCCAAGCGTTGCTTGCCTGAACTAAAACATTATTTAGTTACTACACACTTAAAACTATACATAAATTTAATATACCAAGTGTATTATAAAAGTTGTAGAGCACCTATACCAAAAATTATAATTATTCAAAAAATATCATAGTTATATAAATTGTGAATTTCATTATTTAAACTACTCACTATTGTGAATTATCCCAATAAACAAAATATTTTGAATTTTGACAATTTCTAACGATAAGTTTGACATATTATGTTGTTTAGCTGGCAGAAAAATTTTAATTTGATTTTTGTGTGCGTTTCCAATATTTAAAGATTTAATTAAAATTTTAACTAATTTATTAAAATGGGTGAATGTTTTAAAGAACTCAAGGCAGCTATAGAAGAATTAAATGAAGAAGTTAACCATCGTAGAGCAGTACTTGAAAAATATAAGAATGATAACATGGACGCTCTTGAATCGTCGCTTATAGGAGATTCTAATTTGAATAAAAACAAGTTTCCAGCTAGAGAAAAAATAGAAGTAATGTCCTCTGAAGTAGTTGATTCAAATCCATATAGCCGATTAATGGCTTTACAACGCATGGGAATCGTTGAAAATTATCAAAGAATACGCGAAAAGTCAGTAGCAATAATTGGTATCGGCGGAGTTGGAAGTGTAACAGCTGATATGCTTACAAGGTAATATAAACATAAAAATGATTCCCTTTGTTACAATAACTTTGTTTTTCAGATGTGGAATTGGGAAATTGTTACTATTTGACTATGACAAAGTTGAGTTAGCTAATATGAATAGATTATTTTTCACACCGGATCAAGCCGGCTTATCAAAAGTAGAAGCAGCAGCAAACACTTTAAATTTTATCAATCCAGATGTTGAAATTTTGATATATAACTTTAATATCACCACAGTTGAATTTTTTGATCAATTCTTAGAATCTATTAAAAATGGTGGTAAGGAACCGGGAACACCAGTTGATTTAGTATTAAGTTGTGTAGATAATTTTGAGGCTCGTATGACGATTAATCAAGGGTGTAATGAATTGAATCTTAACTGGTTTGAATCTGGTGTCTCAGAAAATGCAGTTTCTGGTCATATACAATTTATTAGACCAGGGGAAACAGCATGTTTTGGATGCGCTCCACCATTAGTTGTAGCTGAAAATATTGATGAAAAAACTCTGAAACGTGAAGGTGTATGTGCAGCTAGTTTACCAACAACTATGGGAATAACAGCTGGCATGTTAGTGCAAAACGCCTTAAAATATTTATTGAATTTTGGTGAAGTATCAGACTATTTGGGTTATAATGCAATGAAAGATTTCTTCCCAAAAATGACCCTTAAGCCAAACCCAAATTGCGATGATAGATATTGTCGACAAAGACAAGAAGAATATTTAGCAAAAGCTAAATCTGATCTAAAAGAAACTAAAACTCAAGAAACTGAAGATAAACCATTACATGAGGAAAATGAATGGAAAATTGAATTAGTTGATTCTTCTAAAGTTGATACTTCGAAAAATGACGGTGCAACTGTTAAAACTGAAATAGCGGAAGGACTTAAATTAGCATATGATGCTCCAGATATAGAAAATGTAATGGGTGGAGATGTTATTACACCAACGAATGACGTTAGTTTAGATGACTTAATGTCACAAATGAAATCAATTTAATTTTGTATATAGGAACATAAATTGAATATTTTTTTTTTTAAATTTTGAAACTGATTAACTAAAATTAAATATTAAACAAGAATTTTGAACAAAAACAATTTTTTATACAGTTTTTACAATTGCCTCATTTCTAAATATAACAATTTTTAATACAGATTTTTTATAAAATAAACTCATTTTTTTAATGTAAAAACTTTACTTTTTTTTTTAATATAATTTTCTGCTTTAAGGTATTGAAAATTTAACAAGAAACTATAAACGTTTAAGTTTTAATTATAAATACAAGATGTAGGTGGACATTTAATTAGATGGTATAATCATTCAATAATCTTAATGATAAAATATAAATGAGTAACAAATGAATCGCTTATGTGATTCATTTGTTAATATTTTATGACAATGACGAAGGACTCGTTTTTGAAATAAAAAAAAAATGATTTTCATTTTATGTACAATCAGATGTGCCTATATAGAACAGATACAAAAAATGCTTATCTTGGTCAATTATGGATCATATTGAATTATTGATTAAATAATATTGAATGTGCTTTAATTAAATTTTTTATTTTTAGATTTCAAATTTCGTGTCCTACTAATATCGTATGCACAGAGATAATTCAAGTTAGAAATTATTTTCAATAAAATATTAAAAAGTGTCAATTTATAGTACAAAAATTTGAGAATACGCTAAAAATTCTATTTATATTTACGGGATACAGCGTGCCATGTATCATCAAACCATAAAAAAACCTGTATTTTTAGTAAATTTTTGAAAATCATGGATTCCAATCAATTTGATACAAAAATAAGGAATTTCAAATTGAAAATGATTACCGACTGAATTGAAAAAAATCAAACTCATAAAGTTTCTTTTTTGTTTTGGTTATTGTGTCTTGATCTCAATGGTAAAATATTTTTATTAAATTATTTCTTTTTTTTTTTTTTTCTTAAAAATATATAAAAACATTTTTCAACATATTATTTTTTTTTTTTCTGGTATACATATATAATTTTTAAAATAATTTTCATCTAATAAATTTTTAAATTTTTTTATATTATATTTTCTCATAACAAATATTTGAAATAAATTTTATTAAATATAAAATTAAATTTTATACATTTTATTTAAATATGAATTATTATTTTTCGTCAAACAAAAAAAAAAAAATAATTCATATTTATAGAAATTTTATTATTTTTTTTAATAATTTCTATAAACTAGGTACATTTTTTTTTTTAATTTCTTTTTTTCTTATAATTTTATATAAAATAAAAATAAAACATAAAAATCATTAATTATTAAATCATATTAATTAAAAATATATATTTAAAAAATTAAATTATAAAAACTAAAACAAATAATTTAACAAAACATAAAAAAATAATAATTATTTAGCATTATACAAAACATAAGTGTTATATACAACAAGTATATAACAGAAATAATATTTAGAAGCACTTAATATTTTAATTGAATAATTTTAATTTTTATATTTTTTTTTTTATATAACAAATAAACAATAAATAATTTATAATTTTTTGAATATTTACATACGTATATTGTAATTCAATAATATATATATATATATATACATATATTTATATACGTGATTATATGTATTACAGTTATAACATTTTATACATAGTTACATAAATATATATATATATATATATATATTAAAATATAAAATAATTATGTTTTTTCTTTTTAATTCAACAATGTTTTTTTTTTTTGTTTACACTAAGAAATTATAAATTTATTAAATAAATTATTAAACAATTGCACATTTTAAATCGACTAGTTTTATAAAAGTTACAAATATATATAAAAGAAAAAAAAATACAAATCTATATTAAAAGAAAATTATTTTATTAAGTATAAATCATGTATATAAATAAAATTAATTTATTATACAAAATCATAATTGATTAAAATCAAACAATATTCTGTATACAATATTTTGTAGAGCTTTTTTCATTGATTTTAATTTTTGATTATAAAATTTTATAGAAAATATTTTATGCTTTATTTATGGATATTAAAAAAATTTAAAAATATTTTTATATTTCGAGGAAATTAATATGACAAACATGAATAAATTGAAGCAACTTAATCTTTCAATTATTTAATGTAGTCAAATGAAATTTAATATTATTAAGTCAAAAATTGTTGATTAATAACCCGATAATAGAATTTTAAATATTGTTGGGACATTGAATTTACTTTAAATTCATAGTTAATAAATTGATTATTAAAAATGAAATTTGTAAAAATATCAAATTTAAAACGAAAATACCAAAATATGATTGTTAAATTGATCAGAGAGAGTAATGTATGAAATTGTCCTCAATAAAAAAAGAAAGTTGTAAGATCATTTAGATCGAAGTGCCTTTTATATAATCATTTTATAATAATAAAAGTTATTGTAAACTGAAAAATTTTTAATTTAACTGTTCTACAAGAACATTTTTAAATTTAAGAAATTAAATAAGAATATTAAAATAAATCAGAAAATTCATAATCAGTTTCTTTTAACATGTAACTTTCCATAGTCCATAAAAATTTTTACATAATTTTATATAAAACATACATTAATTAAAATAAAAATAATAAAAAAAAAAAAAAGACAAAGTTGATTCGTTGCTATATTAATTATTTGGTTCGGATTTTCGTTAAATACATACATATACACATAAATATTAAAATATTTTATTAATTACAAAAATTTTGAAATTGAAAATTTTCCAAAAAAAAAAAAAAAATATATAAATTATGCATTTATAATTATTTATATAAATAATAATAACATAAAAATATTATTATATAAAATAATATACCGAATATTGTATTAATTATGAAATTATCAGTTGTTGTTCCAATGGGAATTTCCCCATTTTTTCGTAATATTTTATCACCACTAGCATTTAAAATATTTGATGAATTTGTTGTCATTACAGTATAAAATAAAGATGATAAATTTTCATTTAATAATAAATTGTTCTTTAAATTATTACTATTATTATAATTAGTAAATGTTTTTCTTAAATATTTACGAAATTTTTCTTTTCTAATATCATTCAAATTCACATTCACGTCATCATCATCATCACCATTATCGTCTTCATTATCGTTTTCATCATGAACATCATTGTAATTATTATTTAATTGAATAAAATTTGAATTAATTCCCTTGTAGTATTGATTAAATGAATTGTTTTTTGTTGAATTATAGCTGTTGTTATTTTATTATCAATTTCTAGAGAAAATATAGCATCAGTCAAAATAATTAGTTAAAATTTTTTTTTTTTTTTTAAATTATGAAAATGTATACAAAAAATATTATTATGGTTACAATAAAATTAAACAATATTTTACAAATGAAAATGATATTTAATTCAATTTAAACGAAAATAACCAAAATTAATAAAGTTTATTCGAGAAAGCCAAATTCTATTACATATATAAATTTTAATTTTAGGCCCTCATTATGATCAGCGAATCGAATAAAATTTTTGGCGAATATAAGTTTTTAATATTATGATTACCGAATTCGCTTAAATTTTAGGCGAATGAACATTCAAATCTGTCGAATGAAAATTCTGTATGACAAGCTTGGCGAATGAAACCGAAAATCAAAATAATGAGCGTTTTTTTTTTAATTGCATATTATAGCATTTATAGTGATTAAATGGAAAAATCTTAAATATCTGTATTAAGTAAGTTCATAAGCTTCTACAAATTATTATAAAAAATATTGTTTATTTAATATTAATTTAAGCGTGAAAAAATTAATCAATAACAATTGGAGCATTTAATAAAATTAATGGAGAGCAACCCTGACATTACCAAAAGGGATAGGAAAATTCAATATTGTTTTTAATGTCTTGCAGTAGAAATATTTTGGATCTGGCGATTGAAAGCATTCGCCGATCAAAATATCGTTCGATTCACCTAGTCTATTTGACTCGCCTAGCCATTCGCTTAACCGATCATAATAAGGGTATTAATATTTGAAATTATAACGATGAATTTGTTTGATTTATTCATTCATTTTTTGATTACAATTTCAAATATACAAAATTAATATAAAATACTTTCAAAATAATTTATTTAAATTAACATTTTATATGATGTTAAATAAATTTAATTATTATTACAATTAAAATTTATATTTTTTCTAAACTCAAACAGAAATGTTATTTTTCAACACCATTTTGTAAGCACAACTACAATTTGTATTTTAGTTAAATATAAAAATAAATTAGTAAGTTAAAAAAGTTCATTTTTCTTGTATGTCACGAGAGTATAATAATTAAATAAAATTGTTATATTCGAATGATTTTATTAAACATGTTATACAAATTCACAATATCAAAGTACTAAATTGTAACTATCATTGAAAAATATGTAATCAACAATTGTTATTTTTTTTTTGTGTTTTCTTGTAATTTTATTTTTCTAAGAACCATTTTAACGAAACTGGGGTAATGCCAATGTGAGAGACCCAATCCGGTTTTTTTAAACTCTAATGAGAATAAAGAACTATTATGATACTTTTGTAGGTATTCTTATAAAAATATTCAAATTAAAATTAAAACACAATCAATCAGCAACTCTACGGCATGGCAGTACGGCGGAAGAAGAGAATGTTGGAAAAATGAACTTATAATATTGTAAAAAAAAAAAAATGTTAGAATTAAATAAAGCACTTACGTGTAATTGTTAGTGTAATTTAAAGAACAAACACTTTAAGATTTACACTCATATTCTGTTAGTCGGATCACTTGATGTGATTGATCAATTCCAAAATTCGAAATTCTATACTGAAGAAAAAAATTCTTCCAATAATATTACATCACCTCAAGTGATACGACTAACAGAAAACGGGTATTAGTTGGACAACTTAAAAATAATAGAACTGAAATTATATTTAAAAAAGGCAGAGGGGGAGTTTTAGTAAAACTTGGTTAGTATCTTTTCCATTTTTTTTATCTTTTATTTTCTCATATATGTTTTTTTTTTGAAATTCTTTATTATTTTTATTGAATTTTGTTTTTTTATTAGGTACAATGGTATAAGTATATAGTTAATCTTTCATTTTTTTTTTAATGTTTTTGAATTTTTGAATATATTTTTCATATATTTTTTATTTTATTTTTTTTTTAAATCTATAACTATTATATTCTAAGGTATTTTATATAAGGTTTAAGAAAACTATTTAATAAATTAACTTAATTGTTATTTAAATAAACATTTTATTTTTTTGGTTTTTTGCATTTTAAATATTATTTTTGAAATAATGTGAATTTGAAATATACCTATAATTAAAATGAATATTTTTTTTTTTGTTTTTTTGTTAATTTCTTGATTTAAAAATAATAATTTTTGTTTTTTTTTTCTTAATTATAGTTTAATTCGTTCTTTTTGTTTAATTTCTTTTATTACACTTTCTACCTAAAATTATTGTTATATTTTTGTTTTCCGTTTTCCATATATTTAAATAATTTTTAATTATATAATAAAGTCAAAAATAATAAAATTCATACATTCTATTACAATAGCTGTCTAATTTTTTGGGATAATCAAGGCCCAGTATTTATTCTGAAATTTTTAAACAGCCTAAAAAATTTAAATCGTATCGTACTTTTATTTAGCAATTAAAAAATTATTTCATTCACATTTATTTTTCATTCATAAAGATAAAGTTATTTTATATTTTAAGTGAATGTTCCGGGCCGTGTATTATATATGTATGAAATACTTTGAAACTACGAGGGACCAAAAAAAATTTTCAAAATTACTGCCATTTAGACGGCACTGTTATACTACATTCAGACAATTTCATTGTTAGAGATTCAAGAAATTTTGAAATATTATGTTTTTAAATATACTCAAATTATATTTTATCATTATATAATAAAATATATTTATGAAAAAAAAAAACAATTATTAGAATTTAACAATTACAAGAAATTAAAAGTAAAATCTCAAATACAAAGTGTTTCATTTTGGTACATTAAGCGCATTTCAAATTGTTGAGAAAATTGTTTGTTCATTTGAATTTTTGAATTCGGATTAAATTTAAAATTTACAATGTGATTCAATTCGGTATACTTTAAATAATATTATTAAATTTGACTTTATTACAAAATCAATTAATTAATTTCAATTAAATTTTAAAAGTTTTTTTTTTTTTTTGCGATTACATTTTTGTTACATTTTCATTTTAATCAATATAAACTTTTCTTTTTACACGTTTTTTTTTTACTTAACTATATATCATTTATGTATGTATATATATTATGTATATTTAAATGTATTTTTTTAATTTAATTTCTATTATCATTTTATTTATTTTTACTTACATATTTTGTTTTTAAAGATTAAATGTGTATATAGATGTTTTTATATATTATTATATATGTATTTAATTTTTATTATGTGAGGCCGTAAGTGATTTTCTTTTTTATTTTAATGAAAATTTAATTAATTTTTGTTTTTTTTTTTTTTTCAAATGTTTTCTCATTTTTTATATTAAACTGCTATTATATTTAAATATACAAAATATATATATTTTTAATAAACTATTATTAAAAATCTAATTTCGAAATAAATTAAAAAATCTAGCAACATTAATAAATTAATAAGATAACGAATAAAACATAATAATATTAAATATTTATAAAAAAACAAATACATTTAGAAAACAAAATATAAATAAATATTTAATTTTAAATAAAATGGTATACTTATATACTACGAAATATTATATAAATAATATAGCTTAAATATGTATATAGTAAAAATATAAAATTTGCACATAAATATTGAATGTACATACACCATTAACCAATTTTGTGATATTTTCTTATTGCTAAATAAAATATTAAAACTATAATTAATTTTAAAATTTAAATTTAAAGTGAAAAATAAATTAATTAAATAACTAGTATAGGATTTTCATATATAGGAATTTTTGTAATTATAATATAGAATATAAAAGAACAAGAATTACAAAATTATTTGAAGGAAAAAAAAAAATTATTTAAAATTTATTCTAACTAAATTTTTTTGAATTTAATTAAATAAATTAATTAGTACTTAAATTAAAATTTTTTCATTTTATTTAATTAAATTTTATTTTCAAAATAAAAATTATAATTAAAAAGAAATTTCTTAATTTAATTAATAAAGCACTAACTTTAGGAAAAATGTAACAAAAATTTTGATATTTCTACATTTAATGTTTAGGAAAATAATAATATAGTTTTGTAGCAATTTTAATAATAAAATAATAATAATTATTTTGAAATGTTATAAAGAATGTGTAAATAAATTTCTGTATATAATCGAGTATATTTTGAGTTTGTTATTCGGATATTTGGGCATTTTAATTATAAAAGTTAAGTTTAAATTAATAATGTAAAAATAATTAATTTTTTAAAAGAATATAAATTGAAAGAACCGAAATTTTGAATTATTTTTAAAAATTTAATTTTATATTATGTTGGCGTAGAATTTTTTATAAAAAAATTATAGAAAACAAAATTTTAAAGAACAAATTTTATGAAAATTGAAAAACTCACTATATATTGAATTGAAAATCGAAAATAGAAATATAAATAAAAAATAAATTAAAATAAATTGAATAAATCATAAATTTTTCAACAAAAATATTTTATTTCTTATATTTTTTTGTTTTCTGAATGATTATTTCTCAATATTCTATATGATTTTTTGTAATAAAATATTTTCTTTGATATTGATTATAAATGGCAAGATTTTTACCTAGTTTAATAACAAAGCACTGAATGATAGGATTAATTATATAAGTATGTATTAATAATTTTATTCTTAATCAATAATTAAGAATTATTTTCTTTTATTAATATAGATTTTATTTTTCATCTAATTTTATAAAAAAATAAACTTCTTATAATATGAAATCTTTCTATTTTTATTTATTATGTTTTATGTTAATTATGCATTTTAAGATATTGGTAGCAACATAATTTTAATAAATAAGAAAATGAAAAAAATTTATTGAATCTATTACGTAAAATAATTGAAATTTGAAAAAGTTAATCCTGTACTCTAGGATAATTAAAAAAAAACCATAGTGTCATTTTTACGAGTAATTAGAAAATGAAAAATGGTAAAATCATAAATGATTTTCACGTACAGGCTAATCATAAATGGAACTAAAAAATTATGCAAAATAAAACTTTCTATTTTTAGAAATTTTTATGTGATCAATTGATATAGTAAAGTAAATATTTTAAATTTTATTCAAAACCTTATTATTTTGCATTTTTCATAAATAAGAAGAATTTAGTTACTTAAACTTTTGAGTTTATAATTAAACTTGAAATAAATTTTTACTATATTTTGTTTTAATATTATAAACGAATACTTATAAAAAATAATTTTTGTATCTCAATTAATAAAATCATAAAATATAAATATTTTATTTTTTGTTTTTCCATATTACATAATACAACAATTTTTAAAATTTATTTATATGCTGTAAAAAAGCTTTAAATTTTTTTTTTCCAAAATTTTATCTTATATTTTTAAATAAAGTAAATTCCAAATATCATTTGAATTTTTTTAATTACAAAATTTAAATTTTCTTTTTCTACTTTCTATTGTTTATTACAATATTTTCTATTCTTCTATTATAATAATATTCTTCTACATATTATATATAAAAATAAATTCAAAAATATATTAACACATTCATTCATTACGTTACTCTTTTTTTTTTTACCATTTAATCCTTTTTTTTTTTGTTTTTTACTAAAAATTTTCTTTCCTATACAAAAATTTAACAATAATGTTTAAATTTTCCCTTTATTTTCAACCTCTTCAATTTAATTTCTTTTTTTTTTTTTAATATCATTTATCTATTTTGGGAAAAGAAAATTTATAGAAGTTTAGAAATTTTTAATTCACAAATTATTAGTGTTAATTAAACTACGGTACACATAAATATTTAAGGTGATTTTAATATTTAATGGATTTAAATTTAATTTAAAATAATATTTTAATTTTATATTATAAATTTTAAAATTATATAATTACTTAAATAGGAAAAGAATATAGAAACGTATAATGTAAAAAAATTGAATGATCCACAAGTGGTAAATTTTTAAACTGCGATGAACAATAAATTTAAATGATAAATTTTTTTTGTAGTAACTGATATCAATTAATCAGAAAAAAATCAAATTTATCTATAAATAGATGACCTGATTTAACTATATAGTATAATAATTCTTTATTTACTATAAAATATACTATAAATATGTACAACGTTTAACAAAAACAGACATACTTAAACAATTAAAATTACGTTTTTTATACTGAATAAAAAAAAATCTTGATAAATATGCCAAAATTTATTCAAAAATAAAAGTTTTTTTTGTTTTGTTATTCTTTTGAACTTGAAAATAATCATTATAAATATATTGTATATTAGATAATAAAAATGTTTTGAAATTTCATCTTAAAATTTAATTGTGTTTAGAGTTATTCAATTTTTTACAATAATCACTCATATTGTCTAAGACGCATTACTTGATGAAATGATGAAAATTTATTGAAAAATTTTTTTGTAATTTTCTATACTGAAAATTTAAATATTTTTGAATTCAAATCACTTCAAGTAATGCGTCTAAATATCTAAGCACTATGTTTCAAATTAATCAATTTCTTTTCATCTACAATTAAATAATTTTATATATTTTAATATAAAACATTTTCATAAATAAAATATTTAATTACAATTCTTTTTAAATTTTTTAAAACAAAATGAATTAATTATATACATAATACAATTTATAATATAAAAAATTTATAATCCATTAAAATGTAGTTTTAGTATATAAATATCACCCACTATATTAAAGTTAAAAACTATAGGAAATTTGTTAAAAACTATAGGAAAAATAAGCTAACAAATATACAAAAAAAAAACCAGTACAGTAGGTAAAATATAATATATACAAATTTACTTAAAATTTTATTCTGTAGAAAAAATGAAATAAATACAAACATTACATTAGAAATTTTCAAATAAATAAAATTATACTAATTTAACTTGCCCTTGTCTTATTTTTAAATTACAGAAATTCAAATTAATCAATTAAATTTTGCTCTATCCTAATAGTTTTTAGTAACTACAAATTATATGTATATATAGCTCATATGAATTAAAAAAAAAATAAAGCATATTTTTGCTTGACTCGAAAATTTCAAAAACTTTCATTTGTACAAATATATTTTAATTTTAAAATTATTAATAAAAATATTGGAATTATTAAAAATTCAAACTAATTTATTCTTATGCAATAATACAAAAATAAATAAAACAAAGGTTAAAATTAAATTAGTAATTTTTTCTATAAGAAAATTTTTTATGTAAAAATAGTTTATTTTTGGTTAATTTATAAAATAAAAGTTTTATTTTAAAATATAGAAGTATAGATATATAGTTTAAATTATAATTTGTTCATTATTATTATAATTTTAATTATTAGTTTCTAATATTAAAGATTTTTCACTTGAAAAATTATATGAATTATGTTTTTTTTTTTCGTTTGCTTTTTTGGTTTAGTATAGAATCAAATGAATTTCTTACGCTCTTTCATAGAATAACAGGTAGGCACTGGACGAAACCAAATGACTTTCAGATAATTCATCGCTAACACTAAAATAGAAAGGAAAAAAAATTATTTTTTAGAAATCACAGAAACTAATTGATAATTAAGTTAGTATTAAATTATAATTATTGGTTTATTAAGTTAATATTTTGAGAACTATTTTATAAGATTTACTTACATATTATCATTGAATTCATGCCATTTCTTTGAAACTGCATGCTTACATAGTGCTACATAATGACCACCAGCAGTTGAACCTACAAAAGCGAACATATTTTTTTATACAAATAATATTTTTTATTATATATAAAATATTGTATTTTTATTGTATACAAGTATTAAAAAGAAAATATCATACCCATATGATTAGATATTCCATAAAGTGAATAATAAACATTTGTGTTAGAATTGGAAGCATATGGTGCCATATTTAATTCACGTTCACCAGTAGGGAATTCAACAATATTAGATAATTTACTCCATCTTGTTTCAGAGAAACGTTTCAAATCTACAAATAATATTGAATTATCAATAATACATTTTTCAATAAAATTGTTAAATTAAATAATATATAACTTACGTATAACCAAATATCTTGGAAATCTTTGTATTGTAAAACTTTTTGTACATTTTCGACGTGTTTTACATTTTGAACATGTTGGCATTTCATCGCCATCTAAAACTTCTTCCTTAATAAATAAATCTAAACAGGATTCTAATTTACATCTTGATGATGATGGTAATGGTACACTTAAATCCCAAAACGGATCAAATGTAACACTTGTATTACCACATGTTGTACATTTTAATGTACTTTTTAATTGTCCAACAAATAAATCTTTTATCATTGAATTTTCAACTTTTGAATACCATTCCCATGTTAGATCAGCTTTTTTATTGTCACTATAAAATAAAATTTTAATATTAATTTTTTATCATTAAAGCAAATGAAGGAAAATAATTATGCATTAAAATTGAGAAGAAAAATTCTTGTTATTTATAAAACTAACCTTAGGTGATCATCAATTTTTAATTGTTCACCTTTAACACCATTATTTAATGCACTATGTAATGAATCTAAGAAAAAACGTAAAAACTCTTGGGCATCTTGTTGATTATAACCACTGTACATTCGATGTTTACTAGAAAATGCACTTTTTAATTCTAATGGAGTAACACTAGTAACATTTGTAGTCCACATGTCACGTATAAGTTTTGCAAACTCTTAAAATTAAAAAAAAAATCATATTTTAATACTTGTACTAATTATAATTAATGTAAAAATAGAGTAATATATTTAATAGAAATAAAATAAAAAAATTTTATGTAAAAGCAATTTTTTCTTACCGTATAAAATTTGCCCATCTTTTGAAGATGATTTAGAATTTGTTTGAGTTTTTAGGAATTTAGCCAATTCTTTTGTATGACTCAGGCACTGTATGACTGAATTCATAAAGCATGTATTACCAATATTTCTGAGGCCACAGAGTCCTACAAATATATTTTAAAATTATTTTATTTTTTTTTATTCCAAAAATAATTCTTTTAATATTTTAGGAGTTTTGACAAATCTAACCTCCAATATTATTTTTATTATTTGATGATAAATTCGAGTATCGATTATAATGATAATACATTTAATATAAAAACAAAGTATCGATTTTGAGGAACAAATGCGATTTTTTGACGCGTAGCACACAATTTTAATTTTTCATTTATTAAAATTTAGAATTATTTTACAGAAAATCGAATTCTTATAGCATTTTTTGCCATTTTTCTTAAATTTCAATTCAATTATTTGAAAACTTTTGCAGTAAACTGTAAAATTTTAATTTCATAAATAATTCACAAACAACAAAAAGAAACTATTTAATTTATACAACAGAACTTATGAGCTTAAAATTTTTACGAAATTATTTACAATAATTTGACAATTTAAATAAAAATACATATTTCAAAAATTTGAAAATGTTGTTATTTTATTGTACATATAATATGTGTTCACTTTGTTATTGTAATAGAATTATTTTATTACAACAAGTTATTATTTCATTTATTGTTAATTCTAATACCAATGTATTTGACTACATTTGGCAATATTGACAAAATGAACGTGCTCCCTCTATCTATAACGTTCTTACTTAGTATTAAGTTAAAATAAATTTCAATAATTTTTAAACCAATTTTAAATATGCTGTTTAAAAATATTAATCACTGATTGACAAAATCATGCGTGGGTAACATACGCATATTATGTGTTTTCATTATGTTTAAATTCAAACAAAATTTAAAATAATTTTACCTTCTGTTCCTCCTTTTTCATAAGAATCTGAGGACGAATCATTTTTACTTGATGATATATAATCATCATTATCATTATTGCTACTAGTAGTTAAATGTCGACTAGATGATCTGCCGCCAGTTGCTGTTTCACGTTCCCAATAACGTGATGGGGTTGGGGATGGTGGTAGAGTACTTCGGATCGAAGTACTACGAACCTAAATTATTTATATTTTTTTTTATTAAAAGGAAAATAAGCAAAATTGAAAAGAAATAATAATAATTTAACAAATATAAGTAGTATGTAACAAAAATTTTAAAATTACACTTAAAATACAACAAAAATATATGCTTTTTTTTTAATTTTTTTTGATTAAATTTTTAATAAATTTCAAATTTATTTCTTGTTATTATTGTTAGAAAATCTATATAATTATTTTGTTTACGTTCCTTTGTAAATTTTAATGTTTTTTTCATTTTTTTTTTGAATTCCAAAATTTATAATTCGTATATTATATTTTAAAATATATTGCCAATAATTTACATTTTTTATAAGCTTAAAATTTCAAAATATATTTATGTATATTTGAAAATTTCTTGATTTTGATGTACAATGATGTACAGGGCCCGTTTCACAACTTTATTACATAATCAAACCGCAATTTTCAGTCAAAAACCATTCAACATTTTACAAAAATGTATTTTGTATTTCAGTCAATATTTCTGTAATTCAAAATTTTAGAACAGAAAAAAAAAATTAAATTTTGAAAAATAAATTAAGTTATTACATAAACAAAATCAAAAAATTTTCATACATATTGCTATTTATACAATTAATTTGCATTTGTTTTTTTTCGAAATTCAAGACACAATTTAGTCTTTCAATACAAGAGAGAAGTGTGCATTATTTAAAAGAAAAGATAATTAAATATTACTTTTGTTAAAGATGAAATGAAATTTTTTAATATTGACATATTGTTAAAAATTGGTGTGTGATTTATAAATTTGAAAAAAGTATTTACATTTATATTAAAATTATAGATCTATATAAGTAAATGCTATTATATAGGTATTTACTATAAAAAAAAGTGAGTACGTTTTATATTAAATTTATTTTATAAAAATAAAAATAAATTATGTAAGAAAATACACAAATGAATAATAATTGGAAAACAAAAAAAAAATATTTTTTAAAAATAAATTTGCTATACATACATTCTATATAATTTTAAACAACAACTTTCTACAATGAAATTTCTAATAAAATTGGTCAAATTTAGGTATATCTAAAGCATTGATAGCAATTAAAGACGATGTCCCTTTCATATAAACATAATAGGTAAAATGTCAAAGTTTTAATATTAAATATAAATGGTGTAAACACTCGCATATTTATAGCTTTGCCTTAATAGTAATTTTGATTACGGTAAAATCGATAGTTAAAAACCAATATTCCAGTAAAATACCAAAATGATGGCATATGAAATTAAGAAACAAAACTAATAAATTAGATATTGAGGACAATCTAGCTTGAATGTCAAAAAAAAAATTTATTTTTCAAAATTGAAAAAATTATTTGGGAATTTTTTAGTGACCCAAAATACCGCAAAATTTATTCAAAAATTATATTAATATTATTTACTAATATCTTTACCATCTCCCCGGTAAATGATGGAATTAGTCCTTATTCAATGTTTTTTTATAAATTGTCAAACGAAGGGAGTTTAATTACATTTTAAGATATCAATGTGAACGAAGTATGCATATAAAAAAAAAATTTTATTTTTGCTAAAAGTATAAAAATCCAATTCTATTTCAAGTACGGATAATAATAATCGGCGGGAAATTCATGATGTTCATCACTAACAATTTACTCAGAAAATGAAATACATTAGTTTTGAACATTCTTAATTTCGGATGATGCAGTCAATTATCCAAAAACAAAAAAAAAATGCAAAACAAAATAACTTGCGTCTGCCTAAACGTATTAGAGTAATATAATAATTATTTAAGTATGGTAACAATAAAAATTGACAAATTAAATACCATGACATCCAGAGTTAAAAACGGTAAACGTAAGAATAAACGAAATTTAATCACCAATTTATTGATTGCTGTCAACTCAATTATTGATTGTGTTCCTCTAAATTATTTAATTGAAGCTACAAACTGAAATTAACCGCTCAAGGGACACAATATTAAATGAACATATTTCAAAATATATATATATATTTTTTTAATAAAAAGCGAACTCAAAATAATTCTAATTATTATATTAATAGGATATATAATAATAAAATTTCTAAAATAAAGCGGCAAGGTCATAGCACGAATAATTCAAACATACAAGAACCAATAATATAAAAAATATTCAAAAAGGTTTGTCACATAATCATCTGTCAGAATATGAGAGCTAAGTTATTGAACATAGGTATTCTATATAGTAAAATTTTTTTCTCTATGATTCATTTATAAAATAAAATTATTAAAACAACAAAAAAAAAAACAATTTACTGAATAAATTAATTTGTGAAATTTTCAACTAAATTTTTCTATATTTTCTATATAAAATTTCTACTTTGTTTAATTAAATTTTATTTCTTTAGATATTTTACCATTTCGATCTTGTATATCTTGTAAATCATTATTATAGTTTTTGATAAAATTCTTAATAAAGTTATGATTTCCAATCTATGACCTTGCAAAAGAAAAAAAAAGTATTAATTTAATCAGTAATTCAAGACTTGAAAGCCTTATTAAAAATTGATAATAAGAACGTTATGAATGATATTATATAAATGGGTCAAAAAGCATTTAAATGAATTATGTGTGAAATATATTCACTAAATATAGACGTCAATATCCTCCGTGTGTCATTTGATTAAGTGAAAAATTTGTTAGTGTATTATATGAAATGTTTAGAAAAGTATACAAAGTAATGAAGAATGTTGGCAAGGAATTAGATTTATTGGCAAGAAATTAAAGAAATATTTATATACGACAGGTTAATGCGATTTCTATATAGTAATATCGTAAATAATTCAATTTTTATTGCAGTCTTTCTATTGGGAACGCGCACAATTTACGCGTGTAAAGTGCATTTTTACGGGCTCTATCAGTTACTGGAAAAACTTTTTATCAAAGAAAATAGCTCCAGGAAATTGATATTAAAATACTAAGTCTGTATTGTGCTTAAGAAAACATTCCTAAAGCACAAGAACAGATATGCGAAAATCAGAGGTAATTCTATTAACTTAAGTAAATAATTAAATTATTATTTTTTTCTCAATTTCAGATTGTAAAAGATTAGAATACTAAATCTTTTGGAAAGCGATAAATTGATTATATGGAAATAGGATGAATTATATGTTTTGTTTCATTTTAAAAACTATGGCGGTAATATACATATATATATATATATATATATGGAAATGGATTTCAAAATAATAGTGGAATTTAATTCGTAAATCATTTATGAAATATTGGAAATTGTGTGTATGAAATATACGAAATGTAAGATATGTGATAGCAATTTTAAATTAGGTTTTTTCACTAAACTTACTAAAAATCTAGTTTAATTTATTTTAAATAAATTAATCTATCTACTTGTATTGATTACTATATCAAAATATCTGACTACTATATTAAAAGTAAATAAATTGTTGTTGTTAAAAAAATATAAAATGTAATAATAATATTAAAAAAAAAAAAACTCCGAATTCTATATGATACACTAATGCGTTTGTTAGATTTATTTCAGAAATTTATGTTTAAATTAAAAACTATAATAAACTGAATTGGATTTAAAGAAACATATTACTGTAACTTGAAATTGAAGATAAATTAACAATTTAATTATAAATTTTATAATAATGTTGGCTAATCATCTGTTATTGGAAATAATTTTTCTTTTATATTTTATTTTTAGAAATTAATGTTAAAAATGAAAAACATAATTAATTACAAAATTTTGAAACAATTTCATAATAATTTTGTGTCTTAATTTAAGAATGAGAACCAAAAATAAATAAAATGCTTCATATACCTTTAAAAAAAATAATACTAATAATAAATATAAAAATTAAAATAAATAAGACGAACACGTAATAACTCATAAGATTTGCATTTCAAATTTAGATATTTAAATCACATTCATTCATAAATATTACAATTTTGAAATTAATTTTGAAAATATATTCAAATTTATAATAAATCAAATTATTTATTTATTTTAATTTTTATTTCAGACATGAGCAACAAATCAAAAACAAACTCAAGCGATGATATAAAAAAAAATGTTGAATTATTTTTTTTCTATTACTTTAATTTTAATATTAATAATTAAATTAAAACTATAATGCATAGTCAAAAAAAAGCTAGATAAGCTAACAACTCAAAATCTGTTATATAAATTAAACATTCTATAATAAAACACATTACAATTACAATTATTATTACATATTGAAAAACTACGTACAAACACATACAATTCAAACACATAAAACGTATATATTTAAAAAAGAAATCATGCCGAATTTATAAAATAATAAAAAGAAAAAATGAAAATATAAAGAAAATTAAAATAATAAAATTTAATTTTATTAAATAATTTTATGTAAATAATTAAAATTTTTAAATAATTAACCATCTTTAATATAACCCAGCACCACAATTTTTCATTTTTATAAATCTTAATTATTATCTCATCAAATACGAGTATGTATATAGCTATACAAAAAATTATATACCTTTGACTATAGCTTTTAAATTAATTTTAATATAAAAAATGGGATTTTTTTTTTTAAATAGAATTATTGATTTTAAATATAAATATTAAAATTTATATTTTATATACGAAATGTCCCAAACCTTATACTTATTATTATTTAAATTCAAAATATTGTAAATATGAGATATTTTGAAAAAAAAAATTAATACAAAATATACTTAAATATAAAGGATGATTTTTGTACTATTCGGTTTTTGGTATTTTTGTTGTAGGCATTCACATGGAATATTTAATTTTAAATTGACTCAATTTATTACTATATGAAAAAGTTGATATTCGGACAACGCTCCCAAATTGTTTATATTTATAGAAAATATTTAATTAAGAATTCTTTGAATGAACTATACTTGTATATTAATTTCATTTTTTAGACTAGTCAATAGCAAACGCTGCAAGTTTTGTTTGTGGTTACATGAAATCTTTAATTCACAGCGACCATATGTGCAACCGATAGCTACTTTAAAGCTATAAGTTCTAGTTTCAATTTTTAAAACTATAAACTATAATTTTTTTTTTTAGTTCAAGATGATCGTGACCAGTAATAACATCAAATCATATTTAGAAAATGAATGATAACGATTAATTTACATGTAAATTTCTGTACGTCTTTTTTTTAATTAAAAAACCAAACGCTTTTAAAAAAATCATCCATTTTTTTTAAGTGAATGCTAACATATTAAGTATATATATATATACGTAATTTTTCAAAATATTAATGCAATTAAATACAAGCATATAGCATAAAATTGAACATTTATGCTTTATTATAATATTATATTATTTAACTAATTGATTAAAATTTCTAGACACAGTCCACTTAATAAAATTAACATTCTGTATAGAAAATATCAGTAAAACATAATAATATCTAATTTAAATAAAATATAAATACTATATATATATAAAATGTATCCGAATAATAATTTAGATAAAAAGACATTCCATATATAATGTATATATATATATGAATACAATTATATATCACATCTAAATCATCATATTAAAAATATATTAAATACATTAAAATAAATTATAATTTACAAATATAAAATTTTATATATATAACATTATTATAAAATAAAAAATATATATATATATATATATATATATATATATATATATTGGCAAATGAAATTATAATTATCCCCGCACATTATACCTATATAAAATATATCTACAATTATTTTACCTACTAAAAATGCTTATGTGCTCATTTTATGCTCATTAAATTTTAGTGTTGCAATTTTTGAATTAAAAAAAAAAATCCTACGTCCAATAGATTTTGTTTTGTTTTTTTTTTCTCTTTAATTAGAGCGGAATTAACTTGTGTTTATTTTATTAGCATACGCTTGTACATACATTCAATATTAATTAATTAGTTCCGCAGGGAAAACTGTGTTTCCAACAAAATTATTTTCAATTGAATATTCTAATATAATAAGAGCCCTGTATAACCATAAATTAGTTTAATAATTAGCAAATTTAAAAAAAAAAATTATTTTTCAAAATTGTACAAAATGGGGTTTTTGAATTTCATTGGTCAATATGTATATGTATATATATATATATATTTATATATTAAAACTAATTATAATTAAGCTTAAATTATACCATTACAATTTAATAAACTAAATAAAATTAAAGTAATTATGAAATAGAAACTTTAATAATATTATAAAAATAAGTAATTATTACAAAATCACCAATTTAAAAACAAACAATCACAGTCCAAATTTAATTAAATGAAATATAATGTATGATTTAATATTATAAATTGACCCCCCCCCCCCCCCTTCCACCACACAGTAGAATTACAATAATACAGAATTAATACCCAGTTCAGGAACAAGCTAATAGTTATTACTCGTAAGTACGATACTGTGTATTAAAAAAATATTACTGAAATTCCATTATGAAGGGGATGGGAGGCAATTTTGAAGAAAAAACTACCTTATATAGATAAATAATATAGGCTCAGGATTATTTCAAAATAAGAAAAGAAATCTACAACTTTAGTTCATCCATTCTTACTGTATAATAACGAAAGGCCCAATAAATGAAGAAATTATTTTATTTTTAATTTAGCGCCATCTTTTTCTTTAACATATTACACATCTTTTTTAAATATTTAAAGCCGCAAGCTTCTATAACAATTTCTTCATTTTTAACCCTTTCAATCGGATGTACAGTAAAGTATTTAATTTCCTTTTCTAATCCTGTATATTATATACGTTCATTTATTATATATAAATAAATAATACAATTCTATATAATTAGAGCGAAATGAGAGTAAAGAATATTTGAAAAAATTAATGTAAATTATGTCTTGGAATAAAATGAATACAAATAAATTAAGTGAGTAGAAATCAATTAATTAATATTGCAAAATATATAAAAATTGTAATAGAATTTTCGGAGCTACTCGTATGTAGTACATAACTACTTCATAATTAATATGGGTAAATCAATATTCATTTTCAAGTTAATTTGATTTCATTTTATTCCACACATAAAATAAATAATAAAATTTCCATTCTCTGATATTATGAATCTTTTAAAATTAAATAAATTTCTAGTATAATTAAAATTATCGATTTTTACATTGAATTTCTTGCCTATAATTTTTCTAAATTTCCTAACCAATTTGAAAAAAAAAAAATTATTTCATATTAAAAATTAGAGAAAAAAATTTTTTTTTTTGTTGTATTAAATTTTCTTGATTTTTTTTTTTAACTTACACTTTCTTCATTATCACATTTATTTCTATTGGAGTGTGATTTTGATTCTATAGCTGTTGTAGTTACTGTAGATGGCGTTCCTAATTTCGTAGTAGTCGTATTCGATGGAGTTGTGCCGGAAATCGTATTATTATCCTTTATTTCAATATTACTAATATTATTTTCTTTATTATTTGTTATAGAAATGATAGTTGATGAATTTCTTCCGCCATATTTATTATAATTAATAGAATTTGTTGATTCAGTTGTTGATGTTGTTGCTGCTGTTGTTGTAATTGTTGTGATATTATTTGTTATATTTGAAGCTGTTGTTGAATTTAAAACTGATATCGATACAGATGAAGAAGTTTGAAGTGGTGGTGTATTCGTTCGATTTCCGCTACTATAACTATTTCCACTATTAAAGAAAATTTCTTTTGGCGTCTGTTGCGAATGCTGCTGTTGATGATTCTGATGATGATGATGTTGTTGTTGATGATGATGATGATGATGTTGATGGTATTGTTGATTATGTTTTTGATTATGATTAATCAATGTTGTACCAGTATTATTTATATTTGAATTAGAATTACTTCCAACGCTATTAAGACTGCTATTACTACCATTTTGCTGTTGATGTTGTTGTAAAAAGCTATTATTAAAATTTCGTTTTAATAATTGCGGTGAACTGGATGGTGTCGATTCTCTACTATTACAACTATTATTTCTTAATAAATTAGATGTCACAGATGATGTATTTAATATTGTAGGACCTGTTGTTGAACTTAATTTTGTTTTAAAATTTGATACAGACGAAAACGGATAGTGTTGTTGTTGTTGCTGTTGTTGATAATGATATTTTGTCGATTGCTGCTGTTCATGTGACACTGGACTACTACAAGATAAGCTGCTGCTACTACTAGTTGCATTACTTACATTAAAATTTTTTTTACTACTAATTGCATTTATATTATTATCATTATTAATATTTAAATCACTACTAACAATAACTGTTGAATTTTTCAGACTAGTCAATATAGGTTTGTTAATGCTATTATTAATTGAATTGAATGCATTTCTTACATTTCCTGCACCGATTGATGTTGACTTTCCACCATTTGATAATGATGTTGATCCACTTCCTGCACCCAATATAGTTGAAGAATTATTACTAGACGATGTTCGTTTAAAATCATTTAATGTATTATATTTAATGTTAGGATTATGGCATGCAGCTGTTTTTGTAATATCAGAAGAATTTATTGATTGGTGATTCTTCAAAAATATATTATTACTTGCTAATAAATTTTGGGTACGATATTTTGCCGTATTTGCTATCGGTAATGTTGAAGATTTTAATTGTACTGATGACGGTGTCAAAGAACCATTAATAAAACGTAAATTACTGGAATGATGAGCACCTACAGCTACTGTTGATGTAGTAGATGCTGTATTTAAACTTTCCTTTAAAGCATTTTGTTTTGCTATTATTCCTGATCCAACTTGATTGTTGCTTTGTGAATTTTGTTTTATCTGTTGTTGTTGATTTGAACTACAACTATGCTGTGATGGATGTCTTTCCGAATCATCACTATCAATATATTTAATATCATCTAGTAAATCTGGACTATTTTGTATACAATTCATATTGTTATTTTGCAATTGTTGCTGTTGTTGTCGTTGTATTAAATCTTGATTTTGATTTTTTGATATTATTGATATTTTAGGTTGCTGTTGTTGCAATAATTGCTTTGTTGTATTTGCAATCCGTTCACCAGTTTTATGAACCAGAGGCGAAAGTTTTGTTGTTCTACTATTATGATGAATTAATAATTTATTACTTACTGTTGCATTATTTGATGAACCACTAACTTTATTATTACTAGCATAATCACCAGAACATATACGTGTTGCCGTTGATGCTGATGAATTTGATGAAATTTTTTGTTGTTTAATATTATCTGCTATTATTACAGTATTAACATTATTATTATCACAGAGATGATTATTTTTGGTTTGAACAGAATGATTATTATTAACTGTACTATTATTACTAATGTTAATTATACCGTTATTACTATTATTATTTGAATTATCATCGGAAGCTTTATCAAGGTTATGTTGTTGCTGTTGATTAAATTTCGCTATTGTTGATTTTACTAATTGTGATCTAGCTAATTCACATTCGGTTTTTAAAAAATTTGTATCACGATAAGTAGAATATTGAGTTTTATGAATTGAACTTAAATTTTTACTATTATTCAATTTAATTTGTTGCTGTCTATTTGAAGGAGAAGAAGAATTTGAAGACGGATTACTTTTACTACTGTTGTTGGTTGTTGTTGTTGTGGTTATTCTTTTATTACTAATTGTTGATGATATAGGTTTACTATCATGTAATGTTAATGACCCAATAACATCATTAAATGCTCCATTACTATTACAAAATTCATTACTATTGTTGAGCCTAAGTTCCTGATGCTGGGGTTGTTGTTGCTGTTGTGATTTATTCTTATTACGTTTTTTTTTTTTTTGAAATAATTTTTTGTTTCAAAATTTAAAAAGAAAATATTTCGCCTCTTTAACAATTATGTTTTTTTTAAATATGAGGAAAAAGATTTCTTTTAAATTTTCATAATTTAAAAAAAAAAAAAAAAAAAGAAATTGCAAATGAAAAAATAACGTTTACAATTGAGGTAACTTTTAAAGCTTTTCTCTAGCAAAATTCAATTGCAAATTAAATTTTAACATTTGCGGCATTTACTATATGGAAATACTAAATAATTTTTTCTAAGAACCAAAATTATAAACCTTATGTAATATGATGAATACTAAGATTTTTATAATACTTAAATGAATAATACTAAATAAACTTAAATTATAAAATATGCGATGAGCTTAGAATAAATAGAGAGATGACTGCATTACCGAAACAATTTATAAATAATATTCTCATTTTTAATTTTAATCTTAATTTAACTGTGTATTGAATAATTGTGAATTTATTCTTTATCCTTTTTTCTAAAAATTGTTTTTTTTTTCGAAAAACAAGAACCGCATATTTCTTATTCGGTGAATTATATGACATTTTAAATTTTGCTGAAAAAAAATAACGCTGTGGTGCCAGATTAGAGAAACTGACTGTATTATATAATAATTAAGATAAACTGAATTAAAATCGTTTAAGTTTCTCTTTAACTATAATAAAATTTTATAATTTCAGCTGCAAATTATTTTTAATTTTTAACAAAATATACATTTCTTTAATATATTTAAGTTATATTATCAACCAACAAATAAATTATAGTGTAATTATAATAGAAAATTAATGTGCAAAATTAAAAGGATTTAATTTGTATATATACAGTCACATTCAATACATATATACAAATAAATTAATTACTTGAAAGAAATATAGCTGTTTGCAATTTTTTTTCTATTGTTTATATTTATAACATAAAATTAATAAATAAAATTTTTGATTATTTTCTTGCATTTGCATTTAAATAACAAACTTGTTTAGGAATCTCGATTTTTCTAAAAAAAATTTTATTTCTTAAATTGAACAATTGAAAAGAGGAGCACAAATGAACAATTTGTGGCGGTATTTAATATTATTGAAACCGCTATATTCTCATTTTTTGATATAGGGAAATATACCACATCATTATAGTTCGAAAATCAAAACATTGATTATTGATTAAATGATTAAATGTAAATTTCGTGAAAATGCCTAAAACGACAACACGTTTTTTTTTTTGACATCTATATATATTTCAAAGTTTTCGATTCATTTGCATGATATATCGATTTAATTGTATGACAATAATTCTTCAAAGTCAAACAAATCAAGATAAGCGGTTCAGATTTCAATGGTCAAATGGAAATATTAAAAAAACCGATTTTATTTATACTTTAAGAATAACGAAAACGAAGTTACTAAAAATATATATAGAAAAATTTTGTAAGTGTTCACACTTAAAATATTCAAATTAATTATTTGATTTTAACCATTAAATTCGCACATTAATTTTCTTTCAATAATTTATTATTTAAAAAAAAATAAAAGAAACACATGAGAAATTAATTTTAACTCTTTTTACACAAAAAATCAACAGAAAAAAATTATGTAATATAAAACAAAATTAAAAAAATTTTTAAAACTAATAAAAATTTAATGTTTATTTTTTAATATCGATAAATTAGTGGTGGTAGTAGTAGTAATAATAGCTGCAATTTGTATTGTTTGCTTATTGTTTTATGCCAGGATCTTCTTGTTTTCTATAAATTCATCTTGTTTTTTTTTTTTCAATAACTACTCTTTGTTCTTTTTTAAATTATATATTTTTTTTAATATTAAAATTATTGTGTTTTAAAAGTGAAAAAATTTTGAAATACTTTAATATTTAAAATTTTTTAAGTAAATTTAAAATATTAAAAATATTGTGTTGTAAAAAAATTTTTGAAGAAAGAATTTTGAGAAATAAAAAAATGATTTACTATTGAATTTTAATTGAGGCACTAAGACGTTTTTAGAAAATAATAATTTTTTAAATTTTTAATAATGATTTTTAATTACTTTCGATAATTTTTATTTATTTTAATAGTTTTAAATTAAATTCTTGATATTATAAATTTGAACGATTGTAAATTTTAAAAAATTATTTATAATTATTAATAATTATTTATTTAAAATTTTGAGATTTATATTATATTTTAAAAATTATTGAACAACTAATAGAATTTCTACTTTATATTAAAAATTATATGAAAGGCGAAATAAAAACTAAAATTTTAATAAGTCCAACAATTAAAATTTCAACACATATTTTATCTTCAATTTTGAAGTTTAGTTCGAATTTAAAAAAAAAATTTAATTTCCAACAAAAATAAAAATCAAGATGAGCTTATGTCACATGATGTGTTCATTAGAAATTGTCATTTTAATGATTTGATTGTTACATATATACATATTATTATTTATTGAAATTATAGTAAGAATTTTTAAATTTTAAATAACAACTAAGAACACAGTATTTATATGATTAAAATCTTAAATAATCAAATTCATTTAAATTATTTACATATTTTAATATGTATTTACACTTTCAATGATATAATTATGGTATGATAAAAAAAATATTGGAATCGTTAATGTTTTTATGAAAAAAAAAAAAAAAACAAAATATTTTTGTTAAATGTCATTTGGACGTCTACCAAAATCTGTAAATCAACTTGACTTATTCACAAGAAATTGTAATCTGAGTAAAGTAAAGGTTGCAGATTGGTTTTTTTTTTTTATGTAATTAAACCCATTTTATGTATTCATTACATAGTTATTATGTATTTTACAATAACCTACTATAATATATTAGTGTAACACTCATTCAAATTTATTGAAAATCGTTTATCTCAAAATTGAATAAATTATTAAATGTATATTAAAATTTTTTCTTGGTATTCTAAATATACATTTTTTTTTTAAATTAAATCTCAAAATTTTAAATAGAAATGAGTGAACAACATGAATTAAGGCTGGAAATACGCAACCCTATATGCTTAATATCTAGTTTTTCTAAATTTTTAAATAATAAACACGTCATTTCAATTTGTCAAACAAAACAAATGTCAAAATTAAAACCGAAATCTATTAACCAATAATAATAATTTCAAAGAAAATTAACTCAATTGTGAATTTACTTGTTCTTCGCTAATTGTTATTCATACGGAAGAATAAAAACTTCGATTTCTTAATGGCTCAATTAAAATTTCATATTTTTCATTGAATAAAAATATTTTCTATTTGATATTTAAAAAATTTTCTCTAATTCTGTACAATAAAATGAAAATGGTGTGAGTTCTTGATAATATACATTAAAAAAAAAGTTCAAATTAACTTAATAAAAACTAACAAATTGCAATTTCTATAAAAAAGTTAATAGTGTAAAATATAAAAAGAACACAAAAAAAATACAAAATATAAAAACATTAGTTTAAAAAAAAATTAAAATAAAACTTAAGAAAACAAAAATAGCAATTTAAAAATCACTATTAAAAAAAAACCAAATTCAAAATTACAAAAACAAAGAATGAATTCAAAATGTTAATTGCATATTTTCTGGCTTTATTGCAGGTTATAACTAAATAATTCACAATAGAAAGTTTTCAATTTACGGGTTAAATGATTAGTTTACAAAACAAAAAAAAAAACTTGTTTTCTTTTTTAGCTGTTTTGTTTTTTTATTATTTTCTTTTTTTTTTTGCTTTCTATTTTCGTTACCTTAGAAGACAATTGTGATCCTGACTCAGATGTCGTTAATTTATTCGATGAATTTGGTGATGTCGATAATAGATTATCATCATTATTATTACTATTTTTACGTGAATTATAACTTTTACCGTTACTTTTTAATATTGAATTTGTTGTAACATCATTTTCATCATTTTTTTCTGTCGTATCATCTACATTATTTGTTTCATCATCATTTATGATTACTTTCTTTATATCTGAATTTCTTCTTGATTTTAATTTAATTGTAACATTCAAATCAGATTCTTTATTATCTTTATCTTTGTTATCTTTATTATCTTTATTTTCCTTATTATCTTTATCACGTTGTTGCTTTTGTATTTGCTCTTTATCATCATCATTTATTTTATGTGTACTACGTTTTCTTAATGATATTGTAGCGGTTGGTGTTGGTGATGTTGCTTTTAAATTTTTACTACCATTTATTGTAGATGTTGATAATAAATTATTTTGATTTGTATAATTATTATCATTATTATTGTTACTACAATCATTAACTGTTTTACAACCGTTACTATTACTGTTACTATTTTGATTGATTTGATTATTATTATTGTTACTGTTATTATTAGTTGTTGCTTCAGAAAGTGATCTGGAACGTGATAATTCACATTTTGGTATATAATGAGCTGGACTATATTTTTCATATAAATCCAAACCAGATGTAGCTACTTGAAGTGCTAATGATGAATTTGATGTGAATGATGATTTTGATTTTGAAATGTTCTGGTTGTTTTTATTATTATTATTTATGGATGAAGATAATAAATCATTATTATTTGAATCAGAATTATTTTCTGAATTTGTATTACAATTATTTATATTATTTTGATCACTTTTTGAAGAATTACTAATAACCTGACCAGATGATAATGATTTTTTTAATAATAATTTATCATTATTTAAATTATTATTAATATTGTTATTATTATTATTTATTTCATTTAATATATCTTTTGTATGTGCTGTACGTAATGTTATATAATTTGAATTTAAACTATTACTACTACTATTACTACTATTACCACCAATAGCTGGAGGTTTACTTTTAAGTGATCTATTTTTAATTGTTGTTGTTGATGATGAAGATGATAATGACGATGATGTTGTTGCTGTTGTTGTATCTTTATTATTATTATCTGAATTATTTAATTTTGAATAAGAAGATAATGATGAATTAAGTTTTGATGATGATAATGAAGATGATAAAGGTAATGTTGTTGAGGTTGTTGTTGTGGTTGTTCCTGTTGTTTGATTATCAATTGTTGTATCATTTTGTTCTAGTTTTTTATTTAATAATATCCGTGATTGACGATTTAATGATATTAATGATGGTATATTATTATTACTATTATTATTATTATTATTACTATTACTGATTTTATTTGATGATGCAGTATCTCTACTATCTGAACTTGAGCGCGAATAACGATTTGTTTTATTGTTTAATGAATTACTTTTACTTACTCCAAAACGACTAGATGTTCCGGATGTGATACCTGTTGTTGATGTTGTATCATAATTGCCATATGTGCTAAAAAAAAATATTAAATAAAAAATATTGTAATTTGATTTGATAATTTTAATTTTATAATTTAAATAAGTCCGAACAGTCAAGGAAGTAATTTATAAATGAAATGTAACTGTTACGAGTATACATATAATACCTACTGTTTCGAATTTGTATTACAAGACCTGGGAAATGACAACTGGTAAACATCATATCACAAAAATTACAATTCATAAGCGAATTTATTATTTTTAATTGTTCGATTGAATAACTATAAAAAGGAAACTTTTCGGAGTTACTTCTTACTATTTAATGTAAAATTTTAAATTTTATAATTAAATCTTATTTTAATTAAATTAAGAGGTTGTAAAAACTGTAGGGAAAAATCACTTAATTGAAAATTTCCTTTAATTAAAAGAGATTTTCTTAATTAGCCTTGTAAGTTTTATTTTTATATTAAAACAGAACTACAGTAGGTTTATATGTACGCGTGTGTACATATGTATAAACGTTTTCATATTATGTGTGTGCAATTGTATATATTAAATAAATCCTGATTGAACCTTTATTTTCTTTAAAACTTATTTAATAAATTTTATATAAAAGAAAAAAAAAACGCATAACATAAAATAATTTAATTTTAACTTCCTTTTACATGAATACATAATAAACATATATACACACATACAAAAACGTATATGACCTAGACCAACTATTTGAAACTTAAAAAAGGAAAAACCAATAATAATAATAATAATAAAGAAAAATAAATATGAGAAGGATAAATTCCCAGACTACAGACTCTCTATTTCATACATAAGAATTATGTAACATTATATTTTATACTGATACCTCACAAATGCAGACAATGTATTTCCTCTCTTTTATCCTTTATATCCTGGTTTTATAATTTTATCCTTGAATTAAATTTCATTCAATCAAACTAATTCTATACATAAACTATACAGATGTGTGCGTGTATAGATGACTACATGAACCTCAATCATATTACACAATATTGTGTATTATTTACATAGAAAATACAATATTTACACACCTATACATACAAACTTTGAAAATTGTAAAATATCCAAGCAAGTAGTTCGAGCGTATATACTTTGTATATAAAAAATAACAAGGATACATTTTTATTGTTATATAATAAGGATATTTTCAACTTTGTGTTTAGAAATTTTATATGTAACACCACGCAGTTTTTCTCTTTCACTCTCTCTCTCTCTTTCTCTCTCCTTTCCTGTTTCTTCCTCTCATCTACATTTGTATTACATTAAAAATTTATTGAAAAAACTCAGTTAAACTGAAACCTCAGGTACGAGTAATATTTCTATCATTTAAATAAAATTTCATTTAAAATCTAGGAGAAATTAAATCATTCTAACACATATTTCCTCGTATTTGTGTGATTTGTGTGATAGTATTCGTTATAAGTAGAGGTCCTACTTTATTAATATTTTCAATTTAATTTTAATAAAAATTAATTAATAACAAAAAAAAAATTATTACAAACCTGTAACGATATGATGAACCACCGGTTAATGATGATGATGAATTATATAAACTATTACGATATGATGCTGGTGATCTTAAATATGATGATGATGAATTACTACTGCTACCACTGCTTGAATAACCACTTGTTGAATAACCACCAGTTAATGATGATATCGGTTTATTACTTAATGATGTACTTCGGTATGATGAACCGTAACCACCGGTAATTGATGATGGTATTGAAGATTTACGTTCACCAAGAATTGATGATGTTGTTGTTGAAGTAGTGCCACCAATTGATGGAGGTAAATATGAACTACCACTTATAGTTGAATGTCTTCGAGGCGAAAGTACAGGCATATTATAAATTTCTTCAATTTATAATTTATTTTAATTTTTGATTTTCGAATTTTCCTTTTATTTTAAATTTTATTTTTAGAATTCGATTTTAATTTTATTAATCTTGTTTTGTTTTTCTATATTTTTACTTTCAAATACTTTCCAGAATCATATGTAGGTAGAATCGATTTGTTATAATTTTTTAATAATCGAATTTTCAATTAAATTTTTAACACAAAAATTTATTCGTATTTTACTGATTAACTTGAATTTTGTCAAAGAATGGATCAAATTTTAAATAAAATATTTATTTAAGAGAAGAGTAAAAATAAAAATTTTTGTATAGAAGAAAAATTATTTTTTTCAACTTGAAAGAAATATTTGATTTATCGATGAATAGAAATTTTTTTGAAATATTCTCAAAAAATTGATTTATTTGTAATTTTTATATTTTATTAAAATTATTTTCATAATTTAATTTATTTCTTGTTAATATTTTATTTATTTCTATTCGTTATCGTAAAATTCTCCTATCGGTATTTAGATTAACTAAGTAAATAATTGGTTATTCTTTAAAGGTATTTTCAAAATGGTGAATTTTTAGAATTGTATTTTGTAATTTTGATTAGATTTTCGTTACAATTATTATAATTATTTTATTTCTGCGTTATAATTAATAATGATTTTATAGTTTCCTTTTCGAAGATACAATTTTGAAATTTTAGATTTTCTGCTTGTATATTTTTTCTTTTTGTTTAATTTTATTTTAAATTATTTTGATCTTTTAATTTTGTTTTCGTTGTTTTTCTCTTTCTTATGTGTTTATTAAATATGGATTGACTATTTTTTATTTTGTAGAATTTTCTTTTTAGAAAAAAAAATTATTACAGCTGCTTCTTTTTGTTAAAATTACGATATTACGTTTATGAAGAGTTCCTCTTTTGTTTTTTGAATAAGTAATAGAATCTAATTTTAAAATCTGAAATTAAAAAAATGAAAAAAATAATTTTTATTAAAAATGACAAAAATATTGAAATTTTGAATTAGAAATTTTATGTGTCCAAATAAAATAAGAATAAAAATAATTTATTAATATCTAATATCGTAGAACTCAATTTAATTAAATTGACTCATTTTTTGACTCATTTAATAATTTATTTTAATCCATTTAGTCCAAATATTTTAGTGCATACAGACTAAACTATTCTATAACACATAAATGTCATGTTCCTTAGGCAAGAACTTAACGCTCTAAACAATTGCAAAGCAGTTTGTGCAAAATGAAACGCTGCTCCGTGTCGAAATTCCCTTAACATAAATATATTAGTAAAAAACCTATATATTTAAATATAGGTGTAATAAATATGTTTCCTATAAAAATTTGAAGCCATCTGCCAAAATGTGCCTCTTTTACTAACACCTTGAAATATGTATAAACTAATGTAATGTTTTACATCTAAAGTGTTATACATCCAAATTTTTATACATTCTTAAATGGAACGCTTATTTTTATATTTTTGTAAACAAAACATTTTTATCGATTGTCATTTTCAAAATCAAACATATTTTAAAATATCGCGTTATAAACAATTTCAACTCGAAATTCTATTGATTATAATTTATCATACGATATATACATAATATATACTCATAATATACAATCATATCGAACTTCAAGCTACTTGAATCGATTCACAAATAAACTCAATTACATAATCATTAAAAATTCTAATTTACAACAAAATGACATTGAAAAATAAATAAATAAAACGTAAAAATAACTCGATCGACTTATGTTTAAATAAATTATTATATAATAAAATAAATGTAGGTAATAAATGAATCGCGCATCAGTAATTTTTTATTTTTATTTATTTTATAATCACACACATAAAATGTCAATAATGTTTATCATTTCTTTTGCTCTTCACAAAAGAAAAAAAAAATTATTAATGAATCATCAACCGTATCTTCATCATTCACAATATTGAAATCATCGTGTAAAAGATCTTATATTCATAATAATTGACACTTTCAATTAACATACATATTCGAAACTTATAAAATGACAAGGAAATAATAAAAGAAAAATCGAATTTTTTGCCTGACAACTTAAAGATATCACAAATAAAAGAAATTAAATAATAATTATAATTTTTAGATTTTTTAGAAATATTAAATTAAAAAATATGATGGCCATAAACTATTTTTATTTTCAAAATTTAAAATCGTAAAATTTTTATGCGTTTTAAATTTTTTTTCTGGCTAATGAAAGAAAAAATATGTAAAATTTTAATCTTTCCAAATTTGTACGCAGATGTTACCATATCTGTTCCCAATATAAATTTTGAAAATAATATATATACATAAATTATTATTGAATGATCAATTTTTGTTTTTCATTGCAAATTATTAAGATAAACCGGTTGCTAACGATAAACGCTCACGTTTTTTGAATTTTTTTGTTGTAAAAAATTTGTCATGACTTTTAACCGTATCATTAGTTTATTATTAAAAACTGTATGCCAAAAATTTAATAAAATATGAAGAACACTTTAAGTTGCACTTCTTCTATATAAAATTTATGTCATAATTAATAATGTTTATGAAACAAGAACGTACTAAGATGAGTAAGTGTCATGCATTTTCTTATAACACATTCACATTTTCCATAACAGATGATCATAAATATTGTAAGTATGAAGTATTCTTTAATTATTTACATGAAATGTCAAAATTGTAAAAATGCATTGCGAGAAAATTTTGCAAGTATAGCTCCAAAATATCATAATTATAAAATGTATTTATTATTTTTTCATAAAATTCACTAAAAAATGTCACTGACCCACACAAAAAAAAAGGTGTTTCTGAATTCACACCTAAACTAACTCATTTAAATAATTGTGCCATTATAAGTTAGCCCATTTATACAATATATGATAATATAATCAAAGAAGAGAAAAAAAAATCAATTAAGAAATTAGTGTCAATTATGCCTTAAGGGCCATATTCTATATTATGATATAGAATACAATATAAACCTAATTGACTTAAGTAATAGTATTAAAATTAAATAACTATAAAATCAAGATAATTTAATTAACAAGAATAACAAAATAATGAAGTAATCAAATCAAATATACTTGCATAAGAGATTTACAATTTTTTAAATACCGGCTTATAATATTACAAAAATCATTTAAAAAGAAATCAAAGCTTTTTGCAAAAAAAAAAACCATTTTGTCATTCTATAGAGAATAGAAAAAAAAATAAAAATTATAATTTGATTATTCAATTAAAATTTTATCATAATTCGAAATCAATTACAAACAAAAATTTACTTTTCAATTTGATTTCAATTATACAACCGGTTTTTCATAATTAATTTTAAAATAATTCACAATAATATTTTTATTATCATCTATAGTTAAACAATTGTACATGCATATACATTTAAATTTTGGTTTGTTTATAAAGTGTAAACACATGTTAAATTTACTGTTGACATTTACAATTGGATCGTGAATATTTCGATACTAATTTGTTGCTAATTTTTCAATAGTTCGAAATTTGTCATTATTATGTTCGAAATATATTGCATAAAATTTAATAACTATTTGATTTTTCAAGGAAAACTACCAGGATTAAAAACTTCTAAAAATACAAATAAATTTAAGAGAGACATTTAAGCAAGAAAAGTTTTCGGTAAACTCTTGGAATGAATGTGGATATGGTCTTATTTCGAAATATACGAAGCAAATTTTAAACGCAAGAAAAAATAATTCGAATTTTCATAAGAACGGAAACATATATTATCAGAATATTGTAACTTGGAATATAAAGCTTATTATTGAAAAAAACCCATAGAATATGTGGGAATGTGTCCTATAGTTGTCATATTTTTAATTATATTATATTTTTCTGAATTCGCTTGATTATTACGTATAATAATTTTTATTATTTTTCATTTTTTTTAACCTTAACCTTGATTTATATTAATTTAAAACGAGATTTTTTTTTTCTTACAAATTCATAACTTAAAAAGATCAAGTTCAATGACTCAAACTTGGGTATATAATGTTTGTAACTATGTTTATATATAAATGGGTATACGATTATTTGTATATAATACGATGTTATTAATTAAAATTTAATTAATAAAAAATTTAATATTTTTTTAAAAGTTTATTTATACTTTATGCAAGGTTACTCAATATTGAATAATATTTTTTCAAAGGTATGTTTGCACTATAAATCAAAATATTTCAACCATAAACAATAATAAGCTTTGCTACTTTTGCAACAATACTTGTACTCCTTTTAGTGGTACGAGTATATGATTTTAGCGTAATTTTATAATAGAACAGTGTTTTGTATGAAAATCTTGCTATATAGAAGTAAAAACTAACCTATAAATTAAAATGTTTAGAATGTTAGATCTATTTTTCAAAACAAAATTTACGTGTATTTTAATTATTGCTTTATATTTGGTGATGTAGTTGAGAATATTATAAATCAGGATTGTTATATAACCTTAAATGGAACACAAAATATGTACATTAAATATGTAGTTTCGAATTTAGATTGCGGTTATGACGATATCACTAAGCAATATGAACACTACAACAAAACAATTTCTTAAAGAATATTACCACATAAGGTGAAAATATGAAATATAATATAAGAGTTTAGCATATAGAAAACAACCATATTGTTCATTTTTAATATTACAGCGCATCACCTCAAATTGCAGCGCATTTACTGCACCAAGAAAACAATGGTTATACTTTATTTAAGGAAAACTCTCCTAGTATTGTAA